GAGTTATGAAGAAGATTCGAGACCTCGATCACAGTCTCCCAGAGCTGCTATTCCCCTTCCAATGTATGAGGTACTACATAGACCAAGGTCTCCAACCAGGCCTAGCAACTCCTTCCTAACCAATATGGGAGGCACATAGCATATTAAGATCATGCAGAAGTGGGGCTTCCAGGAAGGCTAGCAGTTGGAGGAAAATGAGCAGGGGCTTCGTACCACATTGTCAGTGGAGACCAGCAAGAAGGGCGGCAAGATCATCAAAGGTGATGCCACTGAGAAGGGAAAGGCTCAGGATGCATCCAACAAGTCAGATTCAAGTCCATTAATGAAGATACTTCAGTGTGCTACTAATGTGGTTCTGCTGAGGAACATGGTTGGTACAGAAGTAGATGAAGACTTGGAAGTTGAAACCAAGGACAAATGTGAAAATATGGCCAAGTTGGAAAATAAATACTTGAAATTCTTGGGATCTCTGATGATGAAGCTGTACAAATATTTTTAGAATTTGAAAGAGTTGAATCAGGAATTAAAGTTGTTGATCTGAATGGTAGGTATTTCGGTGGATGAGTGGTAAAGCATGTTTCTACAATTTGGATAAATTCAGTGTCTTGGATTTGGCAGAGAAAATTTGATTTTAGGGGCTGGGAAGGTGGCTCAGTGGTAGAGCGCTAGCTTTGTATGCATGAGGCCCTGGGTTCGATTCCTCAGCACCACATAAGCAAAAAGAAAAAAGCCGGAAGTGGTGCTGTGGCTCAAGTGATAGAGCACTAGCCTTGAGCTGAAGAGCTGAGGGACAGCGCCCAGGCCCAGAGTTCAGGCCCCACGACCGGACAAAAAAAAAAGAAAGAAAGAAAAAATTTGTTTTAAGAACTAGAATCATTTCTGACAGTACTCAGATGAGCTACACAAACTAGTGAGAAAAGTATCAGCATCATGGTTGTTGGATGTTGTTGGATATCTTCAGAGGACTTCTAAGGGATATATTGATGTATTCCTTTTTTACTTTGTGGTTTTTTTTAATATAGTATAAAATCCTTTAAAAAACCATTTTTTTGAGTCACCAATCTAAAACCAATCAGATGACAATATCAAAAATTGAAATAAGGCCATTATATTTTCAAAAACTCCCAAAGTAGTTTTAATGTGCCTTCAGAGTTAAGAATCAGTGATTCAAAGTAGCACTTCTACACCAATGTGCAGCTGAGGGTCTTGTTAAAATGCAGGCTTGTATTCAGTAGATCATCTAAGTTGGGCCAAATATTCTGCATTCGATAAGCTTCCCAATTACTGTTGCTCCACAGACAATACTTTAGAGTAGCAAGGAATTTTAGGAAAAAGGCCAAGAAAGAGTCTGTTCTGTCTGAAATGAACACTTGGTACCATAAATGCAAAATACAATGTTTTGTTTTTGATCTGACTCAGGTTAGTTTCTGTTTGTCTCAGCAATGGCTATGTATGTAGTACATAAGTACTTACATGTAAGTACTTCAAAGACAAAACTTTATCCATTTCACAGTAGCAGACAGGAGTTTTATTTAGATAAAATAGTCAGGGAAATGATCTTTTAATAGGAGATAAATAGCATTTGAATAGAAAGTTGAGCAGAATGGATGTCAATATCATGTCCAAGCTAATGCAGTATTGTCTATATCTTTCATTGGGGGGGGGGGGGGTAGGGCAATCTTCCTTCATTTTTCTTGTATTTCTGTAATTTGATAAACTATAACTTTTACCAACCAGAAAAAAAGGTTAAGAGTGCAATTGAAAGGTCTCAAGGGGCTGGGAAGATGGCTTAGTGGTAGAGTGCTTGCTTTGCATGCATGAGGCCCTGGGTTCGATTCCTAAGCACCACATAAGCAAAAAGAGAGAAGCCGGAAGTGGCACTGTGGCTAGAGCGCTAGCCTTGAGCTGAAGAGCTGAGGGACAGCGCCCAGGCCCAGAGTTCAGGCCCCACCACCAGACCCAAAAGAAAAATTAAAAAAAATAAAAAATAAATAAAAATAAAAAGTCTCAAAACACCAGCAAAGGCTTAACAAAAGAATAGTTGTGAGCCCAGAGGTCATTTATCCACAAATACCATCATTCAAGGGCTCTAAAATGACAATATTTCTCCTTTTTTTAAATGGTGGAGACTGTGAAAGGAAGTGAAGATTAACAAAATATATCCAAGTGATGAGTGGTAAATGATGTTGCTGATTATGAGAGATTAGTTGTGTTTTTACTTAGAATTTCCTTTTGCTGTTTTTCTACCTCGTATTTAACAAGCTTATTAGCATGCATAAGAATTGTGTGTGTCGGTGGTGGGAGGAGGGGGGAGGTGATCAAAGAGGTAACATTGATCAAGATGCACAGTCTGACTTGCTGAATTGAAACCTCTTTTTATAACCATTAAAATAAAAGTTTTTAAATCTTATTAATTTATTATTATTATGGAGATGATGTACAGAGAAGGATTACAATTACATGAATCAGGTAATGAGTATATTTCCTTTTGTACAGTATCTTCTGTTCCCTCATTCTCTCTCTCCCTCACCTCCCCTCCCACAATTTTTTTTTGGGGGGGGGTCAGTCATGGGACTTGAACTTTGGGCCTGAGCGCTCTATCCCTGAGCTCTTCAGCTCAAGGCTAGCGCTCTACCACTTGAGCCACAGTGTCACTTCCAGTTTTCTGGTGGTTTATTGGAGATAAGAGTCTCACAGACTTTCCTACCTGGGCTGGCTTCACGCATGCAAGGCAAACACTCGACCACTAAGCTACCATCCCAGTCCCATTCCCTAAAATTTTAAAGGATAAAAAAAGAATTACTGGGCTGGGAAGGTGACTCAGTGGTAGAGCGCTTGCCTTGCATGCCAGAACCCCTGGGTTCGATTTCCCAGCACCACATAAGCAAAAAGAAAAAAGCCGGAAGTGGCACTGTGGCTCAAGTGGTAGAGTGCTAGCCTTGAGCTGAATAGCTGAGGGACAGTGCCCAGGCCCAGAGTTCAGGCCCTATGACCGGACCCAAAAAAAAAAAAAAAAAAAAGAATTACTTGGCCTGGGCAATGCCTTGCACTTGTAATCCTAGCTACACAGGAGGCTAAGATTAGAGGATCATAATCCTGGGACAGGAAAGTTTGTGACTCATCTCCAACTAACCACAGAAAAAGCCAGAAGTGGTGCTGTAGCTCAAGTGCTAGAGCACTTAGCCTTGCACAAAAAAGTAGTTCAGGGACATTGCCCAAGGCAAGTTCAAGCCCCAGGACCCACAAAAAAGAGAATTATTTGGTTCTGGGCATGGTAGCATATATTCAAAATCCCATAATGAGACTCTTTGTCAAAAAGGATGGTGTACTTAGGGGAGGAGTCCAATGGTATAACACCTCTGAACAGCTAATGAACTATTTAACAAAATGAATGCTAGGTATTTTGGGAGTCTGAAATCAGGAGAATTATAGTTTAAGGACAGCCTAGGCATTCACATGAGATCCTATCTCAACCACTAGCTGAGTGCCAGCTATTGGTGCTGTGGCTCAAGTGGTAGAGCTTTGAGCAAAAGAAGCTCGGGGACAGTGACCAGGCCCTGAGTTCAAGCTCCAGGACTGGGAAAAAGTCACACTTCTGAAACATGATTTGATTAGCTCAGTTTTGTGGAAACAATTAATGCCATTCAGTGTTGGTTACTTTTTTGGTGTCTACAAAGGCTTTTAATTTAACATTTATGTTTTTTGTTTTTTTTTTTGGGTCCGGTCGTGGGGCCTGAACTCTGGGCCTGGGCGCTGTCCCTCAGCTCTTCAGCTCAAGGCTAGCACTCTACCACTTGAGCCACAGCGCCACTTCCGGCTTTTTTTTCTTTTTGGCTTATGTGGTGCTGAGGAATCGAACCCAGGGCCTCGATCATGCAAGGCAAGCGCTCTACCACTGAGCCACCTTCTCAGCTCCTTAACATTTAAAGCAATGTTTTTGAGTAAATTTTCTTCAATGTTAATATATGGTGTTTGTGTAACATTTAACACTTGAACAATAAATGTGTGATAGAGTTGGGTGGCAAGTTAAGGAGTAACTGTTGGAACACATGTGGGCCTCATCCTCCACAGCTGGTACTTTTTTTTTTTTGGTCATTGTGGAGGTTTGAACTGAGAACCTCTGGCTTGCTTGTTCAGCTGGTGTTCTACTACTTGAATCATGCTTCTAGCCTAATGTTTTTGGTGATTATTGTAGAGATGCCCAGACTGGCTTCCAATTGCTATCTTACCACTGACACCCAGCAGTTACTCTTGTTCTATTTTACTTACAATTTCTTTTTTTTTTTTTTAACACTTTTTTCACTAATAGGAAGATAAAGACATTAATAATTGTGTAAAATGTGTCTCTCACTTGTAGCTTGTTTTACCTGAATGTATCGGTGTCAGGTCATATTTTGGTAGTTTTGAAATGGCACACACACACACACACACACACACACACACACACACACACACACACACACACACACACACACACACACACACGAAACTGCAATCCAATACTCAGATCTTAGTCTCCTTAGCAGCTAGAATTCCAGACATGAGCCACTGGTACCCAGCAGACATCTTTTTAAGTTGATCATTTATCTTAGAATAAGATATTTCAGAATGTATTAGAAATTTCCTCAGATAATTCTGTTGTGAATGAAATTCTGGTGGTTTACTTGATCTAATTTACTACATAAAAGAAATATGCTCCTGGTTATTACCTATGTCCTTTTTTTTTTTTGGTTGGTTGTGGGGCTTGAACTCAGGGCCTGTGCACTGTGCCTGAGCTCTTTTTGTTCAAGGCCAATGCTCTACCACTTCGAGCCACAGCTCAACTTCCAGTTTTCTGGTGATTAATTGGAGATAAGAGTCTCGTGAACTTTCCTGCCTGGGCTGGCTTTGAACCACAATCCACAGATCTCAGCCTCCTTAGTAGCTAGGATTACAGACAGGAGCCACACCAGTGCCCAGCATTAGCTATGTACTTTAAGTATTTCAACTTGTTTTTCTAGGTGTCCCCTTTCCTCCAACTCAAAGGCTTACTATGAAGGAAGTATTTGAGAATGGAAAACCTAAAATGGATGTTTTGAAAAACCATTTGATAAAGGAAGGCCGAGTGGAAGAGGAAGTAGCCTTGAAGATAATCAACGATGGGACTGCCATCCTGAAACAAGAGGATACCATGATTGATGTGGAATCTCCAATCACAGGTAGGAAAATAAAAGGTGCCGTTGAGATTCAAGCAATTCTGAGAAGTGATATAACTAACCACAAAGTGGTGGGATAACTTTTCTAGGAATTTTGAGACTATATTAGGACTGGTTAGATAGTTTTTGCTTCTTGAAATAATAACAATATCAAATGTCTGTTTTTTCCAGGAGGACTATTTAGTACCAGTAGATTAACTATAATTGTGTAGTAATACAGCAAAATCTAAAGTAATTTAAATCAATAGTTACACTGTGATCCTTGTTGGCATAATGCCTTATTTCTCCTATGACATAACTTTTCGCTTACATGTCTTTTTTGCCTAGTGTGTGGTGACGTTCATGGACAATTCTTTGATCTGATGAAGTTGTTTGAAGTTGGAGGATCACCTTCTAATACACGCTACCTCTTTTTGGGTGACTATGTGGATAGAGGCTATTTCAGTATAGAGGTAAAAATTAACCTCGGTGTGTTGGACCTATCATATTCTCTTTTAAGAGAATTTATTTTTAAAAGTTTGCTTTCCATTCCTGAATAGAAGAAATGAAAATGTGTACACTGTTAGAATTTATACCTTATTACTTTCAACATTAACTGATACAACAAAAATCTCTTTCTCTAGCATATGGAAGGCTGCATAAAGCCAATTTTGAAAATAAGTTTAAGTGTTTATTAACCTTTCCTCTTTGAAGATAGTGTACAGGCTGTATCTAAAGGACCCTTTTCACCTAAATAGGGTTTGGATTAGCTGACCCTAATTATAAGACCATAAGCTGTTTGGCTACAATTAACTTTAGATTAAGCAGGCACTTAGCTTATTGTAGAAGTAATTTCTGGTACTATTGTACATGGCAAGTAAGCATCTAATAGATATTCATTGAAGGGGAAAAATAAATTACAGTTAAGTTAGTGAAATGTTATAATGTACCCTTATATATTTTGAGAAATGAATGTAGGAACATGGTTAGAATTAAAAACAATTACATGCTTTAATGTGTAAAATAAAAAATAATTAAGAACCTAGTACTAGGTCATGAATACTGTGAAATATATAATATATTCATATTCAACTCACATGCTTCTCAAAAGTGGAATGACTTCAGTACAAATAATCTTAGTTTCAGAATATGAGATTCAAAACAGTCTGCTTGCCTTAGCATTTTAACGTTGTCATTCCTGCCTACCCTTCATGGTGTGAGACTCTCAATGTAATAAGCCTTCTAGTGGCAAAAGATTTAATCTTTATGTCACTCACTCAAATACAAACCAACTATTTTACCTAAGGCTCAAAGAAGCTGCCCAAGGAGTGATAAACAGTAAAACAAATGGAACTGAGCACTTGTGGCTCCTGCCTGAAATCCTAGCTACTCTGGAGGCTAAGATCTGAGGATCATGGTTTCAAGCCAACCCAGGCAGGAAGCCCATGTGACTCTTTATCTACAGTTAATCACAAAAGTGGAGTTATTCAAGTAGTAGAATGCTAGCCTTGAGCAAAAGTTGCTCAGGGACAGTGCCTAGGCCCAGAGTTCAAGCCCCAGTACTGGGGAAAAAATTGATTCTACAAGTTAGTTAAATGGCAAAAAGTATAATTTTATCTGCTAGTGACAAAAATTTAGTGTCAAATATGAAGGCAAAAAGTTAATGCTATAAACTAAGAAAGTAGTCCTATTTTCCTGCTGTTCAGTAAGTGTCCATACTTGCCAGCTATCATTCAAAAGCCTCCCAGTTGCTTCCCACATTTTAAGACAGTTAAATAAAAAGTATGGATGTGGGGCTGGGAAGGTGGCTCAGAGGTAGAGTGCTTGCATTGCATGCATGAGGCTCTGGGTTCGATTCCTCAGCACCACATAAGTAAAAAGAAAAAAGCCGGAAGTGGTGCTGTGGCTCAAGTGGTAGAGTGCTGGCCTTGAGCTGAAGAGCTGAGGGACAGTGCCCAGGCCCAGAGTTCAGGCCCCATGACCGGACCCCCCCCCCCCAAAAAAAAAAGTATAGATGTTTGGGTTCAGGTGGCTGACACCTGTAATCCTAGCTCCTCAGGAGGCTGATATCCCATGATTGTGGTTTGAAGTTAGCCCAGGCAGAAAAGTCCATGAGACTCTTATCTCCAATAAACTACCAAAACGCTGGAAGTATAGCAGTAGAGCACTAGCCTTGAGCAAAAGTGGCTCAGGGACAAAGCCCAGGCCCTGATTTCAAGCCCCACAAACTGGTACGCGTGCTCGCACACCCACACACACAGAGAAAAGTATGGATGTTTGAAAGACATAATACAAGCTTATTTTATTGTGTTTATAACAATATATGCAGATTTTAGGACTAAAATTGTGTGTATGTGTGTGTTTCAGAGAGTTGTAGATTAGGTAGAATATGGAAACTTATTTCTATGAAGGCATCTTACTATACTCTGTTACATTATAGAACAACAAAGGTACCCCATTCAGAAGCTAGATTTCCTCTTTTTCAACTTGGCAGTGGCAATGAGAGTCATCATAGTAAGCCATTTGGACTTATATAAACTGTCTTTATGTGTTATAGTCACAAAGAAAATTTTATTCTTGGATTTGTCTTGTAGTGTGTGCTGTATTTATGGGGTTTAAAGATTAATTATCCTCACACATTCTATCTGCTTCGAGGAAATCATGAATGCAGGCATCTTACAGAATATTTCACCTTCAAACAGGAATGTAAGTATAATCACTCCTTTTTAGTTATTCTGTAGCCTGTCCCCAAGTAAGTCAAATATAAAGAGAAAGAGTGCTGGGCATGGTGGAGCACCCAAAAGGCTAAGGGAATAGGATTGAAAGTTAGAGGCCAGTCTGGGCTACCTAGCAACACTCTGTCAAAATGAAATGAAAGAGATAAAAGATCATTAATAGAACTTAAATGCTTCATCTTGTTTTTCTCCTTCCTCTTTTTGGTTATTCTTTGTTTTCTTGTTCAGAATTAAGGTTCTAGGGCTGGGAAGGTGGCTCAGTGGTAGAGTGCTTGCCTTGTATACATGAGGCTCTGAGTTCAATTCCTCAGTACCACACAAGCAAAAAGAAAAAACTGGAAGTGGCGCTGTGGCTCAAGTGGTAGAGCGCTAGCCTTGAGCTGAAGAGCTGAGGGACAGTGCCCAGGCCCAGAGTTCAGGCCCCACGACCGGACCAAAAAAAAAAAGAATTAAGGTTCTAAGCAGGGCGCTGGTGGCACATACCTGAAATCCTGGCTACTTAGGAGGCTGAGCTATGAGGATCATGGTTCAAAGCCAGCCCAGGCAGGAAAGACCATGAGACTCTTATCTCCCATAAACGACCAGAAAACCGGAAGTGGTACTGTGGCTCAAGTGGTAGAGTGCTAACCTTGAGCTGAAGAGCTGAGGGGACAGTGCCCAGACTCAGAGTTCAAGCCCCATAACTGATTAAAAAAAAAAGAATTAAGGTTCTAGCCAAGCTCTGGTGGCTCACACCTGTAATCCTCGCTACTCAGGAGGCTGAGATCTAAGGATCATGATTCAAAGCCAGCCTGGATAGGACATTCCATGAGATTCTTATCTCCAGAAGTGGTGCTGTGACTCAAAGTGGTAGGACACTAGCCTTGTGCAAAAGAGTTCAGGGACAGCATCCAGGCCCTGAGTTCAAGTCTCATGACCAATAACAGTAACAAAAAAAGAAGGTTCTGTTGGGGGACAGGGGCAATGAGAGAGGCGCCATAAGAATGTGGGAGGAAAGGTGAGCAAACTCAGTCATTATAGTCAATGTATTTTTTTTTTTTTTGGGTCCAGTCGTGGGGCCTGAACTCTGGGCCTGGGCGCTGTCCCTCAGCTCTTCAGCTCAAGGCTAGCGCTCTACCACTTGAGCCACAGCGCCACTTCCAGCTTTTTTCTTTTTTCTTATGTGGTGCTAAGGAATCGAACCCAGGGCCTGAGGCATGCAAGGCAAGCGCTCTACCACTGAGCCACCTTCCCAGCCCTAGTCAATGTATGTTATGTAAAAATGGAACTACATAACTTGAGAGGTAGGGTTGGATGAGGGAAAATGGGGGAGACATTGATCAAGATGCATTGTACTTATAGCCTGATTTATGGAATTGAAACCTCTTTGTACAACTACTTAATAAGGAAAAGAAAATGAGCTCTTTGAAGCTGTTGTCTGTTGGTTAAAACTCAGTGTTTATGCAGTACTTGCAAATTCTTTTATTAATAGGTAGATCTCAGTTTTGTGGTACTTTGTGTACTCACATTAATTCTTTTGTTTTGTTTTGCTTTGTTTTTGGGGTCCGGTCGTGGGGCTTGAACTCTGGGCCTGGGTGCTGTCCCTAAGCGAACCCAGGGCCTCTGGCATGCAAGGCAAGCGCTTTTTACCACTGAGCCACCTTCCCAGCCCTTCTTTTGTTTTGTTAACGTACATTATTAGTAAAAGAGGGTTTCATTGATAGTTCCATAGATGTATATAAGATACTTTGAATAACTTTACTCCTCTTATATTAACTTAATTCTTTTCCTCCATCTCCTGTTTTCAAATGGTGCTTAGTTGATTTCATTATGCTATATGTGTGACTACATGTGGGTATGTGTGTATGTTTGTGGGTCATGTGTGTATTTGTAACATAATTCAAACTTCCCAATCCCCTCCCCCTCCAATCCCCTTAACCTCCTCTTTACTCCCTTTGCACTTTCTACTCACACTCTTGCTGCCAGTAGTTTCCAGCATTGGGGATGGCATTTGCCCTAGGTGCCTTCTTCCCAGCAGAACCTGAAAGGAAAGGCTATGATTATTAAAAGAAATTTTTAGAGAATGAAGACTTAAAAAAAAGTCTTTCAAAGTCAGGTACTGGTGGCTGATACCTGTAATTCTAGCTACTCAGGAGGCTGAGATCTGATAATCACCATTCAAAGCCAGCCCTGGAAGACAACTCTGGGAGACTCATCTCCAATTAACCCAAGAAACTGAAAACACCGAGAAATTGGTTGTCTATTAAGTGGTGATAATATGTACAGTATACTTTTTCATAGCCTTATTATTTTTAGCCATTTATATGTGTTAACTGATTTTTAATGCAAACAAATAAAAATTAGAACAAATATTCAATTAGTTGTGATTTCTTTCTTGTAAACATTGCTCTCAAAAATCACTGAATTCTGAATTCTCGTTTTATTACTATATTATTGATACTCATTAGAACTTGAATCAATATGACCCTATGTCTAGAATACATTTTTTGTTCACTGTACTGAGTATTGTTTTATAGGACATAGCTCAAGAAATTTAATGAAAACAAAACACTTGATTCAGCTTGCTTAACCTTTGGAAATCTTATTTGGCTATTTAAGTTATATTAAATATTTTACTTAAAAATAATGATTAGAAGCTGGGTGTCAGTGGTTCAAGCTTATAATTCTAGCTACTTAGGAGTCTGAGATCAGAGATCATAGTTCAGAGTCAGCCTGTGCAGGAAAGTCTGTGAGACTCCAATTAACCTAGCACTGTAGCTCAAAGTGGTAGAGCACCAGCCTTGAGCAAAAAAGCTCAGGGACATCTCCTTGAGTTCAAGCCCCATGACTTACAAAAAAATAAAGCCAGAAATGGAGTTGTGGTTCAAATGGTAGAGCCCTAGACTTGAGTGAAAAAACTCAAAAGATAGTGCCCAGGCTGTGAGTTTAAGCCCAATAATGGGAACACACAGACACACACACAAAGAAAAATAATTGGGGCTCATGTATATAATTCAAGCGGTAGAGTGCCTACCGAGAAAGTATGAAGCCCTGAGCTCAAACTGTCATATAACCAGAAAAAGAAAGAAAATGATTAGGAGTAGTATAGAGAGCCTGAACAGGTTTAAGTTCTTATTCTGTCAGTGACTTGTAAATCTGGTTGGGTAAATTCAATTTCTAAGCTTGTAAATTATAAGTATATTAAATTATAGTAATGTACATTAGAGAGTTTCTGTGAGGATTGAATAATTGTTTTGGTTTATATGTACATAGTCACTACTATGTTCCAGATATCATTAAATACATTTAAATGCATTTTTAATACTCATAGCATCCTTGAATTGTCAATATTGTAGATATTGTGTCCATTTTACAGATGTGAAAACCATAATACACAGTGAAATCAGCTCAATATCTCATGAGGTGGTACCGGGGGCAGAGGTGAGGTTCAAACTGACTGAGACAGTGGGGTTCTGGCCACGTGCTGTGTTGCCTGTGCAGCTCACGGATGGGCATATTGGGAACCTCTAAGAAATTCCAATAATATTGTAAATATAATATGCAAGGATTAGGTATTCATTGGAAAGTTAAAAAAATATAGTTAGGCAAATTAAAAAGCCTATATTGAGGCTTAGGGCTCTTACAAAGGAAATTGAGAGCTGTGTCTTATAGAGTTTTTGGAAGAAAAGTCCAATACTGGCACAAATGATTTTGGTATTACTTTCAGCAGACTTTATTCCCAATGATTTATGTGTGTGTATGTGTATGTATGTGTGTTCGTGGGTTCACAGTTTTGCGTATATGCGTGCACACACCGGTCCTTGGGCTTGAACTCAGATCTTGGGTGCTGTCCATGGGCTTTTGCTCAAGGCAGATAAAAGTCTCACAGACATTCTTGCCTGGGCTAGCTTTGAATCCTCAGCCTCGTAAATAGCTAGAATTACAGATATAAGCCACAAGCATTATTTTTATAAGGCCCAGAGTGGCCTTGAATTTCCTGTATTTGCCTCCTGAGTAGATAGTATTATAGATGTGTGTTGCCACTCATGACCCAGTTTTCCTCCATAACAACTATGTAGTGAGAACAATCATGGTCTCATAAAAATTACATTTATTCCTTTTAAGGTTAGTAACTTCCACTAGGAAGATTCCTCCTCGTAAAAGGTTTCAAATCACCATCCTGATGGTGTTAGACCAACTCTCCAATCTATGAACCCTTCCAAATCATACCCAAACCTTAGCACCAGAGAAGAAAAGCTCATTTTTAATTTTTCCACCTATTATTTCATGGCCTCTCCTTTCTAGAGAATTGTGGAAACCCTGCTGCTCATTTAAAAATGTAATTCATTAAGCCTAACATTTTCCCACAAAACAGAGACAGGATGTCCTTCATCTATGAGTTGTAAAAAATCATGAACAAAATATACGAAATTGAATGAGGAAACAGTTAATGGTATTGTGGAAACAGAATCTATAAATCAGGAAGCCACCTTAGCTGAGAAGCCTCATGCATCATAAGTGCCAGTATCTCTTATGAACCCTTTATTGCAGTTTACATGGTCCCAAAGGATCATACCAGTTATGAGTCACCTCCTGTAGAGGAGCCCAAAGCTGTAGACTCCCGCCAGGTAACTAGATAATGTTCACCATAAACAATGCTGCCTAATAAGACAGCTAAATGGGGCCTTACCAGGTTTCTAGGGCAACAAAGCCAGGAAGTTAGTCCCAGGTCATGCCTGTCTTCGGGAGATAGATTTTGTTAGCTCTTTACAACTTTTCCAAGATCTTTTTTGTTGTTGTTGTTGGTTGTGGGCCTTGAACTCTGGGCCTGGGCGCTGTCCCTCAGCTCTTCAGCTCAAGGCTAGCACTCTACCACTTGAGCCACAGTGCCTCTTCCGATTTTCTGAGTGGTTTATTGGAGACAACAGTCTCACAGTCTTTCCTGCCTGAGCTGGCTTTGAACCGTGATCCTCAGATCTCAGCCTCCTGAGTAGCTAGGATTACAGGCGTGAGCCACCGACACCTGGCTTTCCAAGATCTTTTAACAAGATGATTTTCAAATTTGCCCAAAGTAGATGGTTTTGAATAGCTTCAAAACTTTCTGGTTTATATCCTTTTTCATTTATTACAGCTTTTCTTCCCTATTTCTTTTTTCTTTTTGGTAGGTCGGATCAAATATTCAGAACATGTGTATGATGCATGTATGAATACATTTGACTCTCTTCCTCTTGCTGCCCTCTTAAACCAACAGTTTCTCTGTATACATGGAGGAATGTCACCTGAAATTACTTCTTTAGATGACATTAGGAAAGTAAGTAGATCTTATTCACATACACGGTCAACCAGTACATCTTAATTTGTAAATATATACATAATCAAAGAAAATAGAAATTACTTGTGATCTTATTGTAAGTCAACTACTGTTAATACATTGAGATATATATATATATATATATATATATATATATATATATATATATGACAGAAATATTCTTCTTTTTTAAACTTAAATCCTGCCTTTACTGGCTAGAAGTGTAACATTCTTGGAGTGCAGCACTGAAACTTACATCACAGTGAGAAAGGAAGAAACCAAGCTCTAATCCCAGTCTGCCACTGATTGTAGCCTTGACTAAATTATGTAATTTCTTAGCATATTTGTATGTGTGTGAAATTTGGAAATTGGAATCTGTAGTCTGAGGACTTGGCTAGCTATGAAATTCATTGACATTAACCTTTTAGATGATTAATTGTTGCATCTACCTTACATGGTGATTATTTCTAAGAATCTGTATTTTCTCTCTTAACCTTTTTGTTCTCTTAGTTCTCTCATATAGGTGCTAAAACTAAAGATTATTTTGTTCATAAAACTTTTCTCTGAATTAAAAGACTCGACTCCTCAGTATAAAAAGGTTTACCTGCATGAACTGGCTTTTCGTCTGCCTCATTGTTTTAAATACCTAGCATGTAAATTCTGCATCAGTTGTATTAACAAAAAGCTCCAGACTTCAGAAGGCCTTGTTTTAACAATAGGCTATTCTAGTTACTGGTGTTCTCTGAATTTTTATGCTCTTAACTAAAGCAGTAGTGACTAAAAGCTTTTGATTGATATTGAAATGACTCTACTGCAAAAAAAAAAAAAAATAGAAAGGAAAAAAAGCCTTTTACAAAATAAAACTAGCATTCTTTTGTAATAGTCTATTGAAATGAAATAAACAATGAACAGAACAATTGTATAAAACCTTGCTTTTCTGGTAACATTGGCTCTCATGGACAATTGGAATTATCTTTACGTAGTCTTTCTAAAGTATTACCCTTCAGATTAGAGGCAAGACTCATGCTTAGTGAATGGGAGTCCCTGAATTCAAACCCAAGTACTGGACCTCCCAAGAGAAGATAAATACTTTGTACAATTATTTAAAGATAATAAAAATAAATTTTAAAAAGATCAAATAGTCCAGGCACTGGTGGCTCACACTGTATTCCTAGCTACTCAGGAGGCTGAGATCTGAGGATCACAGTTCAAAGTCAGCCCAGGCAGGAAAGTCCCAGTGAGACTGTGAGACTCTTATCTCCAATTAACCACCAGAAGACCGGAAGTGACACTGTGACTCAAGCGGTAGGGCACTCACCTTGAGCTGAAGAGCTCAGGGACAGCCCCAAGCCCAGAGTTCAAGCCCCATGACTCACAAAAAAAAAAAAAAAAAAGATCAAATGGTGTGTTTCTGCAGTAGTTGATTTCACATTTGAATGGAATGAGTACTGCTTTCAAACTGATATGGAAAGGTCTTTTTCTACCATATGGGTAGATGACAGGAATAGTTATAAGTATTACTACAGAAAATAATAAGAAATTATGTATCTAAAATTTAAAATGTTCATTTTTCTTTTGCAGGAACACCCTTCTGGGGTCTGCTGTCTCCTTTCCCAATAACATTCCTGTAGGTAGAGGGCATTTTTGACCTTTTGTTTTTCTGATGTTTTTTTTCTTTTGGCTTTTCTGTATCTTCCAGTTGGACAGGTTTGTTGAACCTCCTGCCTTTGGGGCAGTATGTGACTTGCTTTGGTCTGATCCCTCAGAGGATTATGGCAGTGAGAAGACTGTGGAGCATTATACGCACAACACTGTCCGAGGATGCTCTTACTTTTTCAGGTAAGCTAATCCTCAAAGGAGAAAAGAATGAGAGAAGCTGTGATGTATTACATCAAGGTTTTGTTGTTGTTGTTGCCAGTCCTGGAGCTTTGCCCTGGGCACTGACCCTGAGCTTCTTTTGCTCAAAGCTAGTACTCTACCATTTGAGCCATGGCATTACTTCCAGCTTTTTCTGTGTATGTGGTACTGTGAAATCGAACCCAGGGCTTCATACATGCTAAGCAAGCACTCTACCACTAAGCCACATTCCCAGACCATATCAAGTCCTTGATATCTCAGACATCTATAGTAAAGTGACTTGTTTATTTTCTTTCATGATATAGGGAATTAAACCTACGGCTTCACACATACTAGGCATATGCTTATTAAATTCCTTAGCAGAATGCAGGAAACTCCTGTTTGTTTTATACTTTCTTAGGTATTATACCCAAAGAAGTGCCTGCATGTCTTTCAGTGACTAAATGATCTAGATCATTTGTTCTTGAACATCATTTATGCGCTTTCACTAAAAAATAATCAGCCTGGTGCTGGTAGCTCATGCATATAATCCTAGCTAGTCAGGAGGCTGAGATATAAGGATCACAGTTCCAAACCAGCCTGGAGAGGAAAGTCTGTGAGACTCATCTCCAGTTAATCACCTCAGAAAAACCAGAAATGGAGTTGTGGCTCAAGTAGTAGAGCATTATCCTTGAGTAAAAAAGCCGAAGGATAGTACCTAGGCACTGAGTTTAAGCCTCAGGACCAGCACGTGTGCAATTTTACACATACACACACACACAAGAATCTTGGCTGTTTCCCCAGGGATTCTGATTCATTAGGTCTGAGACTGGAGTCCTGTTATGTTTTTGAAACTCTCCAGCTTTTGTAACCACTGGTATAGATAACGATATAAAAAGAACAAGATTGTGATCTAAGCCTAAGACACTTCCTGGAAGTTGGCTGTTATCCTAAAGGTCACATGGGAGCTTTTGTTGTGTTTTGCCATTCAAAAATAGGAAGATACAAGAGTGCTTGAAATATAAATAAATTATTTTTAATTTCAACATTTCAATTTGACAGTGAAACTAGTTTTATTCCTCAGACTCAAACTCCGGGGTTCTACATGTCAGGTCCAGCCACTTGTTCCTATATAGCCAAGTAGGAGACAAGATGAAGGACAGGGAAAGTTCAGCCATTATATTCTTCACTCCAGAGTTTCTAATTTTTTAATGGTATCTACGTCTTTATTAAAATCTCTATTACACAGAAGCCTTGTGCTTTCTCTGCTTGCTTCTCATGGCTAGCTTGAATAGCTTCCAGACCTGCCTTTTGCTGGTTAATTGGAGATAGACTCTCAAACTTCTCTACCCATGCTGGTTTAAAACTGAGATCCTTAGCCAGACATTGGTGGCTCATGCCTGTAATCCTAACTATACTGGAGACTGAGATCTGAGGATTGTGGTTTGAAGCCAGCCTAGTCAGGAAAGTCTATGAAACCTGTCTCCAGTAAACTACTCAGAAAAAGATAGAAGTGGTGCTGTGGCACAAACCACATGCACAAACCAAACCTATGCTCTTTCAGGTCTCAGCCTCCACCTCCTAAGTAGCTAGGATTGCAGGTATGAGCCTATGTTTCTGTATTCTTCTGATTTCAGTTAGTTGTCTGTGTTCTCTTACAGTTCATTGAGCTTCTTTCAGTCTGTTCTTTGTCCTGCAATTCACAAAAGCTCCATTTCTTTAGGGTTCCCGGAGCTTGATTAATTTTCTTTGATGGTGTCTTGTTTGCCTGATTCTTTAAGATACTTGTATACTTACATTGGTGCTTGCATTTAGAAGAACACACACATCTTCTCTAGTTTTTACACATTAGTCTTCACACTAGTTTGTTTTGTAAATAAATACCTTCTCATGCTGGTTTCCTAGACCAATGAGGCTACTCTGAGATGGTGGTTGAACGGGCTGAGAGCTAAACCATGGGACTACAGTAAGGCCCACAGTTGGTAGGCCTTCTGTGAGGGCATGGGTAGGCATGTCCCTGAGTGGACCCAAGTGCCTCTGGAATTTGCTAGAATGATATTCAAGCTGGGTCATGAAAGACCCCAGACTCACTGGGATGCTTTCTTCAATGGGAGGGCACCCCAAGAACCAAGACTCCAAGCCAGCAGCTGTAATAAGCAAGAGGAGTTTATTTGGCGTTTGCGCAAACGGGCTCTCTGTCCAGGGCAGACAGGAAGCCCCGAACCGCGGTTACAGGCATTCTTAAAGGCAAAAACCACAAGATTAGCATATAACACCAGGTGTCCCCGGGATTGGCCCATTTAAAAGTCACTATACACTCCAGCAATCATTTTTTCTATGTGGGGAAGTTTATAACACTCTTTGTAATAAAACAATTGGCACGGATGATCAAACGGAGGTAGTCACTCTGGGAGATAAGGGTTAGGGAGTTTACAGAGTTACAGGCTTGTGATTGATTAACATTTGGCCTAGTTTGCTGGACTTGCCAGGTGGTCCTTATCTTGGGTCCCTATCTTGGGTCCCTATCTTGGGTCCCTATCTTGGGTCCCATTTGGCCACTTGGGGAATTTACTTGTTTGTTCTTTATCTATGACCACAAACCTTGTCCCAGGGGCCGGCATCTGGGAGAGACTTTTTACTCAATTCCTTATTTCCAGAAGGGAGGGGGGTTAGTGCTAGGGCGAGCAAGTTTACAAAAGCAAAACCAGCAGTTAGCAATTGTAAAATGTAACTCTAATTTTTAATTTTTCAGGTCACAGGGCTGGTTCAGATCTGCATTTGGGACTAGTCACCAATTCTTTTACGATGACCATGGATAGTTGTGGATCCCAGCATGTGTCTGGGCAAGCAGGTCTTATCTGGACCACAGTAGAGCTGGAGTACGGTTACAGTGTGGCTTCTGGTCCACTGTTGGCAAGTTTATTACTGGAGGCAGTTAGTAGCCATGGCTCCTCCTAGGGGCCTAGCTGTGGTTGAAGCTCCTGGCATGATTTGAACAAGTAGGACTGGAATTACTGCACAAAAGGCTGGACTGCTCAGGGCCTGCAGCTGGGACTAGGATAGAGATCCTACCTTTTCAAAGTGATCTTCCTTATTCTTGTGTTTCACAAGGTTCCACAACTTCCTACTTCATTGTCAAGGCCCCACTAAAGCACTTAGTCTGTGTTTGGACAAAGACTATCTATTCTGACATATCGATGTTGTCACTAACAGTCTATTTTATTTTTTATTTTTATTATTTTTGTCGGTCGTGGGGCTTAAACTCTGGGCCTAGGCACTGTCCCTCAGCTCTTCAGCTCAAGGTGAGTGCTCTACCATTTGAGCTACAACACCACTTCCGGTTTTCTAGTGGATTATTAGAGATAGGAGTCTCATGGTCTTTCCTGCCCGAGCTGGCTTTGAACCGAAATCCTCAGATCTCAGCCTTCTGTAGTTAGGATTACAGGTGTGAGCCACCTGCGCCAGGCTACTTATGGTCTATTTTAAAAGTAATTTTTTTTCTAGTGAGCATATGTGAAATGAAGATTAGAAAAAATTAGATAATTAGGGATTGAGTGTGGTGGTACATGCTGTAATCCCAGCTACTTGGGGAAATAGAGACAGGACCATACTTTGAGGTCAGCCTGGCCAAAGTTAACTCAAGACCCATCAGAAAAATAAAAGCAAAAGAACTAGGGGTGTAGCTCAAATGATAAAGCACTTAGCAAACATGGTCCTGTCCTACAAATTGCGTGATTGATTAACACCTGGATAATGCCAGGTTAAATTAGCATTTTACATTTATTCATATCAAGTATTTGTCATTCAAAAAACTAATAATATTTTTAGAGCCAGGCACTGGTAGCTCATGCCTGTAATCCTAGCTACTCAAAAGGCTGAGATCTAGGGATCACAGTTCAAAGCCAGCCCAGGCAGAAAAGTCCCTGTAAGATTCTTATCACGGGGTTGGGAAGGTGGCTCAGTGGTAGAGTGCTTGCCTTGCATTCATGAGGCCCTGGGTTCGATTCCTCAGCACCACATAAGCAAAAAGAAAAAAGCCGGAAGTGGCGCTGTGGCTCAAGTGGTAGAGCGCTAGCCTTGAGCTGAAGAGCTGAGGGACAGTGCCTAGGCCTAGAATTATAGCCCCATAACCGGGCCCCCCCACACAAAAAAAGATTCTTATCTCCAACCAACCACCAGAAAACCAAAAGTGGTGCTATGTCTCACAGTGGTAGAGTGCTAGCCTACTTGAGCAACAGAGCTCAGGGACAGCACCCGGGCCCTAAGTTGAAGCCCCAGAACTGACAAAAAATGTTGAAGAAGCTGGGCGCCAGTGGCACATGCCTGTAATCCTAGCTACTCAGGAAACTAAGATTTGAGGATCATGGTTCAAAGCCAGCCCGGGCAGGAAGGGCCGTTAGACTCTTATCTCCAATAAACCACTATAAAACCTGAAGTGGTGCTGTGGCTCAAGTGGTAGAGCGCTTGCCTTGAGCTGAAGAGCTGAGGGACAGCCCTCAGGCCCAGAGTTCAAGCCCCACTACCGACAAAAAAGAAAAAAAGTTAAAACCACAGGTTCAGTTTGTAATACTGTATATGTGCACACATGTCCATGCATGCTGTTATAATACATTTTTGGGGGGGGGCGGTCTGGTTGTGGGACCTGAACTCTGGGCCTGGGCACTGTCCCTCAACTCTTCAGTTCAAGGCTAGTGCTCTACCACTTGAGCCACAGCGCCACTTCCGGCTTTTTTCTTTTTGCTTATGTGGTGCTGAGGAATCGAACCCAGGGCCTCAGGCATGCAAGGCAAGCACTCTACCACTGAGCCACCTTTCCAGCCCAATACATTTTTGTATTATAATACATACAAATGCATATTTGTATTTTGTATCAAGATACCAAGAAGAGTTTTGATGTATTATTAGTTATGCGTTAAGACAAAAGAAATTAAAAATGGGGGGGCTGGGAAGTTGGCTCAGTGGTAGAGTGCTTGCCTTGCATGCCTGAGGCCCTGGGTTCGATTCCTCAGCACCACATAAGCAAAAAGAAAAAAGCCGGAAGTGGTGCTGTGGCTCAAGTGGTAGGGCACTAGCCTTGAGCTGAAGAGCTGAGGGACACAGTGCTCAGGCCCAGAGTTCAGGCCCCACGACCGGACCCCCCCCAAAAAAAAAGAAATTAAAAATGGGGAGCTCTTTGTGGACTGAGGTTATCTATTGTCATGTTTGATTTGTAAGGTATAATAGCGAAACAAAAATAGAATTATTTCTGGCATAGTGACACATGTCTATAATTCCAGTTACTTTGGAGATGGATAGGAGGGTCATAGTTTCTAGGCCAGTGTGGGGACAAAGTAAACAAAACAGTATCTCAGAAATAAAATATTTTTAAAAAGTCCCTAGAAATCGCAGAGTCATGACTGAAGAGGTAGAGCACCCGCCTCATTAGGCAAGACTGTAAGTCGAACTCCAGTGCTAGAAAAGAGGAAAAAAAGAAGTTGTGATTGCTAAGCTTTTAATAAAAATTCAAGGTCATTTTGAAATAATAACTCATACTGGCTTTTTTCTTCCTCTTATTAAATAAAATTACTTTAAATAATTATATTAATTCTGGATGTTTTCTAATTTTCCTTTCCAGTTACTCTGCAGCTTGTGAATTTTTGCATAACAACAGTTTATTATCAATAATTAGAGCTCACGAAGCCCAAGATGCTGGGTAAGTTACATTAAAATTGTTCCAAATACCATTTCAGAGTTCTTTTAATATCAAGATAGATGGGCTGTCATCTTTCTTCTAGGTATCGAATGTACAGGAAGAATCAGGCAACGGGCTTTCCATCACTTATTACAATTTTCTCTGCCCCCAATTACCTAGATGTCTATAACAATAAAGGTAAAAAAAAAAGCCCAGCGGTTTTTGAGTTTTTGAGTAAGTCTGAGCTACAGTTTAATTTTGTATGTCTATCTTATTTTTATTGTTGTATTTATTTATTTGTAATTTTTGGTGCTAGGTATTGACCCGGGGGTCTTATGCATGCTAAGCACATACTCAATCACTGGACTACATGCCTAGCCCTTCCTTTATTTTTTGGTGGTGGTAGTGATACTAAGGTTTGAACTCAGAGCCTCATACTTACCAGGCTGGCATTCTACCATTTGGTCCACACTTTTGGCCCTTTTTGCCTCACTTATTTTTGGGGCATGATCTTTCAATTTTGCCTGGGAAAAGCCACCAGTTTTGATCGTCCTACCAGTGGGCCTCCTACATAGCCAGAATTACAATTATTCACTACAATGCCTGACTTCTATATTGAGATCTTGCTTAACTTTTCACCCTGGCTGGCCTTGAACTCTGATTCTCCTGATCCCTGCTTCCTGAGTAGCTGTACCTAGTCTTGCAGCATGTTTTAAAACACACACATGCACACACATACACACACACACACAAACATTTTGTGCCAGTTCTGGGACTTGATCTGGGCCTGGGCACTGTCCTTGAGCCTCTCTTGCTCAAAGCTAGCACTCTACCACTTGAGCCACAGCCTCCTGAGGAGCTAGGATTACAGGTATGAGCCACCAGTGCCCAGCTCTTTTTCTTTTTTGCCATGCTAGCAATAGAACCAAGTGCCTCATGTTTGCTAGGCAAGTGCTCTGCCCCTTGTTATCCATTTTTAAAATCATTTCTTAAGCCAAGCATCAGTGGATCATACCTATAATCCTAGCTACTCAGGAGCCGAGATCTGAGGATTGCAGTTCAAAGCCAGCTCAGGCAAGAAAATCTGTAAGACTAGCTACCAAAAAGCTGGAAATGGTGCTGTGACCTAAAGTAGTAGAGCTCTAGCCTTGAGCACAAAAGCTCAGGTACAGCACTGAGGCCCCAGGATCAGCAGTAGCATGAGTGTGTATGTGCATGTGTGCACGCACATTCACACACATTTAAGTTCTCTCTTAGCATTTTGCTTTTGTCATTGTTCTCCATGAAGTCTTATTCTATTCTACAGTATTTTACTTCCCAGTTCATCCTACATAGTTCCTTTTTCCTAGTATTTTCAGTGTATTATCAACTTGATTTATTCTGGTTTCCTTTTTTGCCAACAGTATGTCCTATTTGTGTTGTTTAACACCTTCAAGGGAACCACACAAAAGGAGCTCATGCCTATAATCCTGGTTATTCAGGAAGCTGAGGTCTGAGTTTTGAGGTTCAGATCCAGCCTTATCGGACATATCCAAGTCTCTTATCTCCAATTGATCAGCAAGAGACTGATTCTGGAAGGCTAGTTCAACTGGTAGAGGACCAGCTTGTGAGGGAAAAAGTTGATTGACTACTTGATTCTTTTTTTTTTGTTGGTCGTGGGGCTTGAACTCTGGGCCTGGGCGCTGTCCCTCAGCTCTTCAGCTCAAGGTGAGCGCTCTACCACTTGAGCTACAGCGCCACTTCCGAAAAAGTTGATTGAGAGGACAAGGCCCTGCGTTCAAGTTCCAGTACCACCACATACACAAAAAGACATCGTAAAGGACACTTTATAGCCCACGTCATATTTGTAATGAAAACTTTCTCTTCTCAATACATTTTTAAACTTTATTATTCGAAGTATCTACTGCTGGCCTGGTGGATTTATCAATGCGCAAAGCTGAATCATGCACTCAGATCAGCAATGACTAAATAACTTAGTGCCAGTTTATTTTTTGCTCCATTCTAAAAGTTTTATTATTAATTATTCTTCAGTGATCTTTTAGTCACAGTGTATATTCTACCTGAGTTTTCTGTCAACTGTGAGATGATGTTAATCTCAAAATAGTAACTTTATTACTATAACTGGTAAACTTTATCTTAAAATAGTCATATTTTCCTTGATTGTTTCTTAAGCTTTTTTAAGCTTTTTTTAGCTTTCTTAAATGTTTTATTGAAAATATAAGTTAATTGCCTGAAATAGCTTTTTAATTATATTGTTATTATTAAAGAATTGTACAGAGGGGTTACAATTCTGTAAGTTAGGTAATGCATATAATTCTTTTTGGACAGTGTCACCCCTTCTTTTCCTTTCCCCCAGTTTTCTGCCCAAAAGTTGCATAGTTCATTTGTTTACCCTTCTTCCCTCCATTTGTGTGTTTCCCTTTTGCTCTCTCCAAAAAGCCAAAAACAAACAAACAAAGAAAACCACCACTGCCAATAACACAACAAATGCTTGCAATTTCCTGGACTTAAGATTTTTTTTTTTTAGGAAAGGGCAGAGAAGATGGCATCTGAAACAATCCCTGTTGACAGTCCCTATATAAATGTCTCTTTTCTTGAAATTGCAGAAGACGGTTTTAGCAGGTGCTGATAGCTCATGCCTGTAATCCTAGCTACTCAGAAAGTTGAGATCTGAAAAGTATGATTTGAAGCCAGCCAAGGAAGGAAGTGTGTGAGACTCTTATCACCAATTAATTAGCAAAAAGTTAAATGTGGATGTGTGGCTTAAGTGTTTGAGCCCCAATTTTGAGCAAAAAAGCTAAGTGAGAATGTGAGGCCTTGAGTTCAAGCTTCAGAATCAGCACCAAAAGAAAGAAAGAAATACAATTCTGTTGTCCTTTTCTTTCTCTTCTATTGCTTTTCTTTTCTTTTTTTCCTTCAGCTTGGGGTATTGTTTATACCCTATTACTAAGGTATCACTAACCTTACAGGTACTTCTCAGTTCCACTGGTTATATAAAAGACCTTTAAGTTGTGGTTTTTAAGGGTCTTATTCCTGTTATTTTGTTGTTGCTTTTGTTTTTGTTTACTTGCTTGCTTTCCTGTCCACTGGAAAAGAAATACACAAAATCAGTTTTGTATGTTTTAATTTGGGGGGGGGGGATTCTGGGGATTGAACTCAAGCTCTCAAGCTTGCTAAACAGGTGCTCTACTACTTGAACCATGCCTCCAACTCCCTTTTGCTTTGGTTATTTTTGTGGTGGTGTCTTACTTTTTTTTATTTTTTATTGTGATTAAGTGATTACATAATTCCCCAAATTTCACAGTATTGTGGGATAGTGATGCTCAGTTAAAGTCACAAACACATTCTAACTTTCCTGGAGCAAATTGTCTATCACAGTCTATAACATTTATGAGTTCTATGAGCTTTGCAATACAGTTATTTTTCTTCCACATTGGTGGTATGTACATTTCTTTTGCTTTGCATAGCATCATCTGTTCCTTCTTTCCCATTTGTTCCCTCTCTCCCATCACTGCCATTAAGTTGCTTAGTTCATTTTGGTCAATGTCCAGTGCAGCTGATGGGTTCCGCTTTTGTATGTTTTACCCTGATTCCCTCTAGTTCTGTGTCGTCTTCCTGGTTCCCCTCCGGTGTACACATATATACCATACATGTGATGAGCAGCATGGGGTTATTTAGTAGTGGTTCGACTAGATGAGTGGAAGTCCTTTGTTTTTTAAGTCCTGTTAATTTTGTTGTATCACCTAACATTTTGGATTTAACATGCACTTATCAGGGAGACCATGTACCGTTTGTCTCTTTGCTCTTGGCTTACCTCGCTCAACATGATTTCTTCTAGCTCCATCCATTTCCTTGCAAATGTCATTATTTTGTCATTTCTAATGGCTGCATAATATTCCATTGTGTATAGATACCACAATTTTTGTATCATTCATCTGCGGTGGGACATCTGGGTTGTTTCCATATCCTAGCTATTGTGAACAGTGCTGCAATAAACATGGAGGTGCACGTGTCCTTGAATATTGGTTCCTGTTGTTCAGGATAGATGCCTAGAAGTGGTATGACTAGGTCATAAGGGAGGTCATTATTTAGCTTTCTGAGGACCCTCCAGACTGCTTTCCAAAGTGGTTGTACAAGTGTACATTCCCACCAGCGGTGTAATAGGGTTCCTCTTTCTCCGCATCCCCTCCAGCATTTGTAGTTGGCTGACTTGAGGATGTGGGCCATTCTGACTGGGGTAAGGTGGTATCTCAGGGTTTTCTTTATTTGCATTTCCTTCACAACCAGGGATGGTGAACATTTCCTCATGTGTTTCTTTGCCATTTTTATCTCTTCATCTGAGAAGTCTCTCTTTAGTTCCCTTGCCCATTTAGTAATTGGTTTGTTAGGTTTGAGAGGGATGAGTTTCTTGAGTTCCCTGTATATACTGATATATTGCTGGTAAATATTTTTTCCCAATTAGTTGGTTGTCTTTCTAGCTTGGTTGTGATAGCTTTAGCTGTGCAGAAGCTTTTTATTTTAAGGTAGTCCCATTTGTCGAGTCCCTCTCCAATTTGTTGTAACCCTGGGACTCTGTTCAGGAAGTTCCTTCCTGTGCCTATAAGTTCAAGTGTCTCTCCTACTCTGTCCTGCAGTAGTTTCAGAGATTCAGGTTTAATGTTAAGGTCTTTAGTCCATTTTGAGTTGATGTTGGTACATGGTGATAGGCTGGGGTCCACTTTTAGTTTTCTGCATGTGGCCACCCAGTTTTCCCAGCACCAGTGGTTGAAGAGGCTGTGTTTCTTCCATTGTATGTCTTTGGCTCCTTTGTCAAATATCAGCTGACTGTAGACCTGTGGATTTATTTCTGGAGCTTCTATTCCATTGGTCTTCGGGTCTGTTTTTGTGCCAGTACCATGCTGTCTTTGTTATTATAGCTCTATAGTAGAGTTTGAAGTTCGGCATGGATATCCCTCCCATGTTGTTTTTATTCCCTAGAATTGTTTTGGCTGTTCTAGGTCTTTTGTTGTTCTGTATGAATTTTTGGACTGTTTTCTGTATTTTAGAGATGTACGTCATTTGGGATTTTAATAGGAATTACATTGAATTTGAATATTAATTTTGGCAGTATTGCCATTTTCACTATATTAAGTCGGCCTATCCAGGAGCATGGGAGGTCTTTCCATTTCCTAGTGTCTTCTGTAATTTCTTTAACTTTTTATAGTTTTCATTAAATAGTTCTTTTACATCTTTGGTTAGGTTAATTCCTAAATATTTTATTTTGGGGGAGGTTATTGTGAATGCGGTTGCTTCCTTTATTTCCCTTTCTGCTTGTACATTGTCAGTGTACAGGAAGGCAACTGATTTTTGTGGGTTGATTTTGTATCCTGCTACTTTGCCGAAGAGATTTATAATTTCTAAGAGTTTAGGGATGGAGTTTTTGGCATCGTGAAGGTATAGTATCATGTCATCTGCAAAAAGGGATAGTTTAACATCTTCTTTCCCTATGCGGGTCCCTTTAATGTCTTTTTCTTGCCTTATTGCCCTGGCTAAGGGTTCCAGGACTATATTGAAGAGGAGTGGAGACAGTGGGCATCCTTACATTGTTCCTGATTTTAAGAGACTTGGTTGTAGCTTTTCCCCATTAAGTATAATATTGGCTATTGGTCTGTCGTAAATGGCTTTTATTGGAGTCTTACTTTTAAATCCAGGCTGGCCCTGGCTGCAGTCTTCCTATTTGGTTTTCCCCATGTCACTGGGTATAGCAAGCACATATCACTGTGCCCAGATATTGTGCTTCCTCTGTAGCTGAGATAATGGGCTCAGGACACTGCTCAACCATTACTGGTTGTATTGGTTGAGATTCTCAACAACTTCTTTTTACTCATACTGGCCACAAACTGCAATCTCCTCATCTCCACCTGAGTAGCTAGGATTATAGGCATGAGCCATGGCAGCTGGCCCAAAAGCAGGTTTTTAATGTTCTTATCATTTGTTAGTGAGATCTACAACCCACTTCTTTTTTGTGTGTAAGTTGACAGACTTACTCTTAGTTTTATATTCACTTCACTTACACAAAATACATACAGATGAATGTAATAGGGTAATTACATGAGAACCATGGTTACTTTTTTTTTTTTTGTCAGTCATGGGCCTGAACGCTGGGCCTGGGCGCTATCTCTCAGCTCTTCAGCTCAAGGCTAGCACTCTACCACTTGAGCCACAGTGCCACTTTTGGTGTTTTCTGCTTATATTGTGCTGAGGAATTGAACCCAAGGCCTCATGCATGCAAGGCAAGCGCTCTTCCACTGAGCCACCTTCCCAGCCCCCCATGGTTACATTTTTAAGAACTAGAGGTTCTACTTTCCTTATGGTCAGTGCTGTATATTTTAAACAGTAGCTTAAATTTTGAGAATACTAGGCTCAAAGAGGAAGATATTAGGAGATAACCTTCATCTGTCCCTTCCAGAGAGCCATTGTACCATATCCTATATCTACAGTAAGAATCATTCCAAGTAGTGCAAAAAACTTTGCTGATGATGGAGGCTAACTTGGGTTTTTACACTTTCAATATAAACAAAATCAATTTCATCACCATGCATTCAATGGTTTGAACTGGTTGGTTAGTTTACATTTATAGTATGCTGGCAATAAGCTAACTGTAAATGGGAGAAACAGGCATTTTTAAAAAATCTATATTGTATGCAGAGATGATTTAGTCTTAACATTAATTGTACATTGCTCCATTTTTTGTGTCCTCCACTATGGATTGGTAATTGCTATATATAAACTTAAACAGAGCATGTAAAAAGGTTTATCTGTGGCTAGTGAACTGGCAAAAAAGACTGTATCCATTTGATGAGTAATAATTGCCCTACAAGAGGAGCTGTGCTTGTAAGCATTTGGTGTATGAAAGGAAATTTGTTTTCATGTGCAACCGGAAATTCTCTGTAGGTGCAGTTTTGAAGTTTCAGAACTTGATTTCTTCTATACTTTTATTACATGAGTTCTTCAGATAACTTAGTTTCTTGGGATGATTCTTAAAAACGTAAACCATGTAAAATGCTTTAATACTTTCCCTCTGCACTGCACTTAGTCTTGGATTTACAAAAAGAAAGAAAGTCCCAGATTTGTATAGTAGAGTCACGGTGGGACATGGCATACCAGTTGACATGTTACATTCTTCTATGCCCAGTATTCTTGCCTTTTCTTTTTTAGCTGCAGTGTTGAAATACGAAAACAATGTCATGAATATCAGGCAGTTTAACTCTTCTCCACACCCCTACTGGCTTCCAAACTTTATGGATGTTTTCACTTGGTCTTTGCCTTTTGTTGGAGAAAAAGGTAAGAGAACTATATAGCATCTGTCCAGACACCAGCCCTCCAGTGACCCAGTACCCTTACATTGCATAAGCACCTGGTACTTCTCAAGTGTCTTTCTCAAGTTTATCAGAAATGGGTGCTAATTTTGGTTTTCTTGCTTGCTTGCTTGCTTCCTTCCTTCCGTCCTTTTTTTCTTTCTTTTCTTTCTTTTTCTTTTCTTTTCTTTTTCTTTTTTTTTGCCAGTCCTGGGGCTTGAATTTAGGGCCTGGGCACTGTCCCTAAGCTTCTTTTACTCAAGGCTAGCACTCTACCACTTCAGCTACAGCACCACTTCTGGCTTTTTTCTGTTATGTGGTTCTTAGGAATCGAACCCAGGGCTTCATGCATGCTAGGCAAACATACTACCACTAAACCACATTCCTAGCCCTTGTTTTGCTTTCTACAGAGTTTTTTTGTTTTGTTTTGTTTTGTTTTTTGCCAGTCCTGGAGCTTGAACTTCAGTCCTGCCTGGGCACTGTCCCTGAGCCTCTCTGTGCTCAAGGCTAGCATTCTACCATTGAGACTCAGTGCCACTTCCGGCCTTTTTTGTTTATGTGGTAAGGAATCGAACCCAGGGCTTCATGCATGCTAGGCAAGCACTGTACTACTAAGCCACATTCCCAGCCCTCTACAGAGATTTTTTTTTTTTTTTTTGGGTCCGGTCATGAGGCCTGAACTCTGGGCCTGGGTGCTGTCCCTCAGCTCTTCAGCTCAAGGCTAGCGCTCTACCACTTGAGCCACAGCGCCACTTCCGGCTTTTTTCTTTTTGCTTATGTGGTGCTGAGGAATTGAACCCAGGGCCTCAGGCATGCAAGGCAAGCGCTCTACCACTGAGCCACCTTCCCAGCCCTCTACAGAGATTTTTAAGTGGCACTTAATTTATTCTTAGTATCAATTTAAAGTAACAGTCCTACTGTGATCCAGATGTTAAAGTAATAATCACTGTACCATCCCTCTGTGATTTCCTCAGTGCTGAAGAGATTTAAATCTAACAGGGTTTATTGTCCTTGAATTTTATTTTTACACTATTTAAATGAGCTATGCAAATACAGAGTAAGACCTTTTGGACCTAGACTTATTTATGTAATTCTTTGCAAAATAGGAAAAAAATGTTTTTCATATGTGTATCTGAGTCAAAGACTGTGAACAGCTGTCTACATAATTCTACAATTAGAACTCTCAAAGACTCCAGTGTTTCATTGGAGCAAGTAATCTACCCTAATTCTCTCAGAACCTGTTAGCCTATACTTAATGACATTTTTATAGCTAATATAATACAATGATAGTTTTTCATGTTTAACATTTATCTTAATTTTAGATACCTACATTATTTGAGAAAAATGCTATATTAGTTGTGTAAATTTTGAATTATTTTGTTTTGTACAGTGACAGAGATGTTAGTTAACATTCTGACCATATGCTCTACTGATGAACTGATTTCTGAGGAGGAAACAGAAGGTAAACTTTACCTCATTTGAACTAAAAATACTGAGACATTTTGGTTTGGATTTTAATTTATATTGACTCTCTCTCCCAGTCCCCATCTCTGTTTCTTGGTCTTACTAGAAAACAGTTGTTTATTGTGTGGTTATTTTTTCTTCTTGATTTGTTTTTTTTATGTTAGTACTGGGTTTGAACTCAGGACCTAGACATTTTCTCTGAGTTTTTGTGCTCAAGGCTAGCATTCTACCACTTGAACCACAGCTCTACGTCCAGTGTTTATTGTATAAAAATTAAATTTGAGCCAAGCATCCTAGCTACTCCAGAAGGCTGAGATCTGAGGATTGAGGTTCACAGCCAAAGTAGGCTGGAAAGTCTGTGAGACTCTTATCACCCATTAACCAGCAGAAAGTCAGAAGTAGGGCCTGTGGATCAAGTGGTAGAGTGTCAAATTTAAGCAAAAAAAAGGGACAGTCCCTAGACCCTGAATTCAAGCCCCATTACTGGCACAAAAAGAGTAAATAAGAAAATAAGATAGAAGAGCATTATTGGAGAAATTAAAATAGATCTGAATAAATTGAAAAAATCTCATCCATGGATTATTGGAAGACTCAATATTGTATGATATACATTATTCTCAAACTGAGGTGTGTGTGTGTGTGTGTGTGTGTGTGTGTGTGTGTGTGTGTGTGTGTGTGTGTGTGTGTGTGTGAAAGAGAGCCCATGCATACATGAATGAATGTATGTTGGTGGGTGTTAAGTGGTTTGAATTCAGGGCTTCACACTTGCTAGGCAGATGTTATACCTCTTGGGCCATGTCCCCCACCCTTTTTTGCTTTCTTTACTTTTTAGAAAAGATCTCCTATTTTTGCTCAAGACAAGCCTTGGACCACCATCCTCCCACAGATGCACTTAACCACTCCCAATTATTGGCTGAGATAGTCTCGCTAATTTTTTGCCAAGGCTGACTTTGAACTGAAATCTCTCCAATCTCTACTTCCCAAGTAACAGATTACAGGTGTGCACCACCACACCTACCTCTAAAGTCAATTATGAAAATGCAAAAGACTAATTCTGAATTTTTATAAAAATAGCATAAATATTAAGATGGGAAGACTTCTCTATAAGATATCAAGATTTACTATAAAGCTAGAGTAATTAGAATTATTAATTCAGTTATTAATCCAACAAACATTGAAACAGAATAAAGAATCCAGAAGTAAGGCTGGGCAGTGGTGACTCATGTAATCCTAGCTACTCAGGAGGCTGAGATCTAAGAATCATGGTGCAGAGCCAGCCTGGGCAGGAAAGTCTGTCAGACTTGTATCTCTAGTTAATCACCAGAAAACCAGAAATGGAGCTGTGGCTTAAAATGGTAGAGTGCTAGCCTTGAGCCTAAAAGCTTACTAACGGTGCTGAGGCCCTGAGTTCAAGCCCCACAACCAACCAGAAAAAAAAAGACAAACTATAGAGTGGGAGAGGATATTTACAATATCACCAACAAAAGTCCCACATGCCGAAGATTTAAAGAACCAAGATTGATATGATGTGCAGGAACAAGCACTTCACAAAAGAACATAGCCAGGAAAAATAGGAAATGATTCAGCCACATTAGTAATAATGAAAATGCAAATTAAAATCATAGTAGGATGATATCACATTAAAACTTATGATGCTGCCGGGCACCAGTGGCTCATGCCTGTAATCCTAGCTACTCAGGAGGCTGAGATCTGAGGATCATGGTTCAAAACCAGCCTGGGCAGGAAAGCCCATGAGACTCTTATCTCCAATAAACCACTCAGAAAACCGGAAGTGGCACTGTGGCTCAAGTGTTAAGAGTGCTTGGCTGGGCTGGGGAGGTGGCTTAGTGGTAGAGTGCTTGCCTTGCATGCATGAGGCCCTGGGTTCGATTCCTCAGCACCACATAAGCAAAAAGAAAAAGAAAAAAAAAGCTGGAAGTGGTGCTGTGGCTCAAGTGGAAGAGCTCTAGCCTTGAGTTGAAGAGCTGAGGGACAGTGCCTAGGCCCAGAGTTCAAGCCCCACGACCGGACCAAAAAACAAACAAACAAACAAACAAGAGTGCTTGGCTTAGCTGAAAAGCTCAGGAATAGTGCTCAGGCCCAGAGTTCAAGCCCCACGACCAAAAAAAAAAAAAACTTACGGTGCTGAGCAAAAAGAAAAAAAAAATACAACACAAAACTAATGATGACTAAAGTCTGGTGTTGGCCAGTATGTGTAGCAGTAGGAATGTTCATACACAGAAGTATAAATTACTATATATAGATACATGTATATATGCATATATACATTTATTTATTTTGTCAGTTATGGGGCTTGAACTTTAGGCCTGGACACTGTCCCTGAGTTCTTCAGTTCAAGGCTAGTGTTTTACCACTTTGAGCCACAGCACCACTTTCAGTTTTCTGGTGGTTAATTGGAGATAAGAATCTCAGAGCTGGGAAGGTGGCTCAGTGATAGAGTGCTTGCATTGCATGCATGAGGCCCAGGGTTCAATTCCTCAGCACCACATAAACAGAAAAAGCCAGAAGTGGGCACTGTGGCTCAAGTGGTAAGCGCTAGCCTTCAGCTGAAGAGCTGAGGGACAGTGCCCAGGCCCTAAATTCAAGCCCCACGACTGACAGAAGAAGTCTCACAGACTTTCCTGCCCGGGCTGGCTAAGATTACAAGTGTGAGCCACCAGTGCCTGGCTTTAAAATATATCTATTTTATTTTATTTATTTTTTGGGGTCCAGTTGTGAGCCTGAACTCTGGGCCTGGGCGCTGCTCCTCAGCTCTTCAGCTCAAGGCTAGCGCTCTACCACTTGAGCCACAGCGCCACTTCTGGCTTTTTCCTGGTTATGTGATGCTGAGGAATCGAACCCAGGGCCTCATGCATGCAAGGCACGCGCTCTACCACTGAGCCACCTTCTCAGCACTGTATCTATTTTAATAGTCAATGCCAAACTGTTATTGAAAATTGAACATGCATTTCCTGTAGCTGAGAATTATAATGTCAAAATATACATAATAGAAATATGTACAGTAAAATGTACAGGAATATTCTCGGTAGCCAACTATTAGAATTAGCCCAAATGACTATGGCAGTAAAAAGGATCAATTGCAGGGACTTCGTATATTGAAATAGATTATGACAATGAAAAAGGACTACAGCAACATGGATGAATCTTACAAACATAATGCTGGGAGGGGCGTGGGAGGGCAGGGGTGGGAAGGGGAAACAAAGGAGGAGGCAACAATGCTTGATAAGAAATGTACTCATTACCTTGCTCATGTACTTGTAACCCCTCGGTATTTTCAGAATAAAAAAACTTACTAATAAAAAAGAAGCATAATGCTGAGCAAAAGAAGCCAGATCAAAAAAGTACATATTCGATCCAATTGCATAAAATTGACAACTGTACTGCTTATAGATGCATGTTCACATGGTAAACCTATAAAGAATGTCAGGAAACTGGTTCCAATGAAAAGAGAATATTTCCTTTGGGGAAAGAGACACATTATTATGTAGTAGGATGAGCCAGTGGGGATAATTCCAAGTGCCAAGCACCATTCTTTTTCTTGACCTGAGTGGTAGTTCTATAGTCATTTGCTTCTTAATAAATCACTGAGTTGTATATTTTTGTGTGCTTTTCTGAATGTTTATTATATTTCACAATAAGTATAAAAAGTATGCCTACAAAGATAGGAAGATTTTGGATAAAACTTTTTAGACAAAACAAATGTATTAGTGTTGTTAATGTAACTGGTTCAGGAAAGCTAAGGAAATAGGGAATGCGGAGTCTGGCGCTAGTTGCTAGAACTAAGAACTGAGGACAGTGGTGAGTGGGTAAGCTGCCATAATAAAATGGGATCACATCAGTTTGAAAGTCAGCTAACGGTCCAGATTGCCACCGGCACCTGCTTCTCTAAATCGGGAGGCTGAACTTTTTTAAAAAATATTTTTTTATTGAGATTAAGTGATTACATACATTTCACAAATTTGACAGTATTATGGGATAGTGATACTTAGTTAAAGTCACAAACACCTTTTAACCTCACAAGGCAAATTGTCATTATCATGTGGTCTATAAAGTTTGTGAATTCCATGAGCTTAAAGAATACAACTATTTCTTCCACATCGGGTGATATGTACATTTCTTTCCTTTTGCTTAGTGTCAGCTGTTCCCTCTTTCCCTCTCATTCCCTCCCTCCCATCACTGCCCTTGAGTTGCTTAGTTCATTTTCATCAATGTCCAGTGCAGCTGATGGGCCCCTCTTCTGTATATTTTCCCATGTTTTCCTCTGATTCTGTGAGGAGGCTGAACTTTTTTTTTTTGGTCCGGTCGTGGGGCCTGAACTCGGCCTGGGCGCTGTCTCTCGGCTCTTCAGCTCAAGGCTAGTGCTCTACCACTTGAGCCACAGCGCCACTTCTGGCTTTTTTTCTTTTTGCTTATGTGGTGCTGAGGAATTGAACCCAGGGCCTCAGGCATGCAAGGCAAGCGCTCTACCACTGAGCCACCTTCCCAGTCCCAGGAGGCTGAACTTTTAAAAGCATAAACAATAAGTTTCTGGACTGGGGCTAAATTGAGGCTATCACTACCTTGTCAAAAACAGGTGAAATGCTCACACTCAGAAAAAGGACCACCCAATCCCTTAAGATAGTGCCCAAAGCAGCAGTTCCATCCAGTAGTTCTAAATGTTTTGTTTTGGGTTTTAGGGGTTTTTTTTTGGGGGGGGGCGTAACTGTTTGCTTTTTTTCAGTTGTTCTGGAACTGAACCCAATACCTTTCCTTTGCTAGGAAAGGGGTACACTACAATCCAGCCTTAGTATCTTACTCTTAATCTTGAGGGAATAAGGATTATCAAATCCCTAAGCAAAGTCACTGTGATACAACAGAAATGAAAAACAGTGACAAGTAAACTTGAAATTATGAAGGTTTAGGCCTTAAAAGAAAAATGTTCCCCCTGAAAATATGAGAGGACATTAAGCAAAGACAGTGGAGTATAGCAGGCACTTATAGTCCTAGCTACTCGGGAGGTTGAGGCAGGAAGATCAGGCTTGAATACAGGAGTTCAGGGCTGTAGTACACTATGTAGTACAACAAGTTTGATATTAGTATGGCACCTCCCAGGATCAGAGGACCACTAGGTTGCCTAAGGAGGCATGAACTGCCCCCAAGTTACAAAAGGGATCAGGCCAAACAGAAATGTGTTTTCACTCAGGTTTGTAGCTGGGTGCTAGTGGCTCATGCCTATAATCCTTACTAATTAGGAGGCTGAGATTGGATGAATTGCAGTTTGAGGTCAGCCCAGGCAGAAAAGTTTGTCAGACCTTGGAGCACTGGGAGTCTATTATTCTAGCTATACCAGTTCCAAAAAGGGCCAGCCTTAGAGTGCCTGCCTAACAGGACTAAGGTCCTGAGTTTAAACTCTAGTACTATAAAAATGAAAGATTTAAGCCAGGCACCTGTGGCTCACACCTATAATCCTAGCCTGATATTCAGGAGGCTGAGATATGAGGACTAAAGTTCAAAACTAGCTCAAGCAGGAAAGTCCATAAGATTCTTAGCTCCAATTAACCTCTAAAAAGCCAGACGTGAAACTGTGGCTCAATGGTAGAATGCTGCCTTGAGCAAAAAAGCTTAAGGCCAGTGCCCAGGCCCTGGGTTCAAGCCCTAGGACTGGCACAGCAAAGAAAAGAAAGGAAAGAAAAGAAAAGAGAAAAGAAGAAAGGCAAGCAGGAAGGGAGGGAGGGAGGGAGAAAGAAAAGATTTTAGACCGAATTTGTCCTTTGTTTTTATTTCTTACTTTGTTCCAAAATGATATTTTTCTTCTTATCTAATTTTATTTTCATGAAAATAAAATTTTTAGAAAATATTGGATAAAAATAAATGAAGAGCCAGGTGATGGTGGCTCACACCTGTAATTCTAGCTATTCAAGAGGGTGACATGTGAGGATTGCAGTTCAAAGCCAGCCCGGGCAGCAAAGTCCATGAGACTTTTACCTCTAATAAACGACCAGAAAACCAGAAGTGGCGCTGTAGCTCAAGTAATAGAGTGCTAGCCTTGACCTGAAGAACTGAGAGACAGCACCCAGGCCCAGAATTCAAGCTCCATGACCAACAACAGAAGGAAGGAAAAAAGGAAGGAAGGAAGGAAAAAAGGAAGGAAGGAAGGAAAAAAGGAAGGAAGGAAGGAAAAAAGGAAGGAAGGAAGGAAGAAAGGAAGGAGGGAAAAAGAGAGGGAGGGGAAGGGAAGGAAGGAAGGAAAGAAGGAAAGAGAAAAGAAAAGAAAATTAATGGATATGAAACAGTAACGTTTTAAGAAATAGAAGGAACAACCTTCAAAAAGTGTCTGCATTTAATGTTCTGTCATGGGTCCTAACTGGGCTGTCTCTTAGGAGCTAATAAAGATAAGTCTGCTCTCAATGCATTTCACTTTGATTTTTTTTCTCTCTTCCATATAATTTATATTCCTTTCTAATATTTGATTTTATCTCCTTGTTTCTTGGCATCTCTTCTCCCTTAAGGTCACTACATTTCTAGCTTTTAGAGAGATAGCCAACTGAAACGTGCTAAGAGCTTAAGACTCTGTCCTGCCTCTGCTCCTTGGTTAGAAGTTCTGAATTGGTAGTTGAACAGTTTCACACAGCTTTCTTTCCTCTCATTCACTGGTAATGTCTGTGTTTTCTCCGGACCTTTCATTGACCTAGCAGATTGAGAGATCAAAGTGAGGGGAAAAAGCTCATGTTTCTTTTTCTGACTTTTGAGCTCTTGACTTCTCATGTGTGGACTATTTCCTAAGTCTAAGAGGAGGAGAGGGGAAGCCATAGAGAAAGAATCTCTCTCCCACCCCCATTTATCACCTTTACCATAAATTTTAAAAAATTAAAAATAAAGAATACCTTACCCATACTTGTAATTTATACTGTGTAGTTGCAATACAATTCAGAGGAAATAACTCATGGTATAAGAAAGTAAAAATTTATAGATGAAAGGACATTTAAGTCTTTTTTTTTGGGGGGGGGGGTCCGGTCGTGGGCCTGAACTCTGGGCCTGGGTGCTGTCCCTCAGCTCTTCAGCTCAAGGCTAGCGCTCTACCACTTGAGCCACAGCGCCACTTCCGGCTTTTTCTGCTTATGTGGTGCTGAGGAATCGAACCCAGGGCCTCATGCATGCAAGGCAAGCGCTCTACCACTGAGCCACCTTCCCAGCCCCAGGACATTTAAGTCTTATTTGTTTGTTTTTGTTTTTTTGTTTTTGCCAGTCCCAAGGCTGGAACTCAGGGCCTGGGCACTATCCCTGAGCTTCTTTTGCTCAAGGCTAGCACTCTACCACGTGAGCCACAGCACCACTTCCAGCTTTTCCTGTTTATATGGTACTGAGGAATTGAACCCAGGGCTTCATGCATGCTAGGCAAGCACTTGACCACTAGGTCACATTCTCAGTCCCAACATTTAAGTTTTAAGACAGTTGAACATTGTGTTTAATTCAGAAAACAACTGCTCAAATGATTACTTGCCCTTTAGCATACCAAACCCTGCAATCCTAATGTGTCCCACAGCATGCATTCCTAAAAGAGATCTACATCAACCATATTTGCTGTGTGTGTGTGTGTATGTATGTATGTTGTATGTGTATGTTCATTGTATTCTACATTTCAGAACCTCAAAAAAATCCCTGCTTTCTCAGATCCACTGTCTTTTTGTGCCCTCTTCTTCATCTTTTTCTCTTCTGGCTATTGGTGTTTATTTTTGTTGTTTTTCCTAGGCAAGTACTCTATTACTTGGCCCATTCCTCTAGCCCTGTGCTTTGGTAATTTTTGAGATAGAGTTTTGCTAGACATACCATGTAGCTGAGACGGCAGATCTATACTACCACATGCAGCTTCTTATCTTCTGATGGGATCTTACAAACCTTTTTGCACAGGCTGGCCTTGTACCATGATCCTCTCATCTCTACCTTCTGAGAGCTAAAATGACTGGTATGAGTCACTATGCCCATGCCCAACTTGATCTTTTAAATTAATTTCTCTTTGAATAAGAAAAATGTTTTATCTTGGTGTGTGTCTGTGTCTGTATCTGTGTCTGTGTCTCTGTCTGTGTCTGTATCTCTGTCTGTCTGTCTATCTGTGTGTGCATGCCAGCCCTGGGGCTTGAACTCAGGGCATGTACACTGTCCCTGAGCTTTTTTGCTCAAGAGAAAGCACTGTACCACTTGAGCCATAGTTCTATTTCTGGCTTTTTTAGTGCTTAATTGGAGATAACAATCTCACAGACTTTTCTGCCCAGGCTAGACTGGCTTTGAACCACAATTCTCAGCTCTCAGCCTCCTGAGTAGTTAGGATTACAAGTATGAAGCATCATTGCCTGGGTTCATCTTGCTCTTTTTTTTTTTTGCCAGTCCTGGGGCTTGAATTCTTGGCCTGGGCAGTGTCTTTAAGCTTCTTCTGCTCAAGGCTAGCACTCTACCACTTGAGCTACACCCACTTGTGGCTTTTTCTGTGTATACTGAGGAATCGAACTCAGGGCTTCATGCATGAGAAGCAAGAACTCTACCACTAAGCCACATTCCCAGCCCATCTTGCATTTTTTTAAAGCCAGCCTATAATACATTCATTCCTTTAACTCACTTAATCTTTGTATTCTCTAAGGAGGCACTGCAGTCCGAAAAGAGGTCATCAAGAATAAGATCAGAGCCATTGGGAAGATGGTACGGGTCTTTTCAATTCTTCGGTAAGGAGATGCCTGTTTTTAGTGTGGGATAAAGGCATTTGAAAAGAAAGTTAGATATGGATTTAGAGTAGTGTGTTTAGGATTAAAATTTGGTATTGGAACTGTAGATCTTTAATTGAATGCAGACTGAACCTCACTTCCATGTTGAAATGACTAACATTGTTCTGGAAAACATTTGCTTGGTACTGGTGTAGATGTAGTGAAATGTAGGTAGTGGTGTAGTGTGGATGTCAGAGCCAAAGTGCCTGTGTTCAATTCTGACTCTCTCTTAGCAGTGTAATACTATGTGCCTCAGTTTCCTAGTCTGTAAAATACAGATAATAGGACCAAGCTCACAGGGTTGTTAAGTGGTCAAATGGAATTTTGCATGCAAAATAGCACCTAGCTTTCAGGCCCTCTGATCAAAAACTGATCCACTGCTTAAAATCAGGATATTTCAGAAAACCCTTTCCTCCTCTGATTCAGGGTGAAGGGAGGGAGGGAAAGCGATTCTTCTGTGGCTTTTTTTTTAACTTTACTGAGTGTCATTGACTCGCTGAGCAGTGTGGTTCCCTGGCATTAACCAGGGCTTCCATGTTCCTTTGCAGGGAAGAGAGTGAGAGTGTGCTGACTCTCAAGGGCCTGACCTCCTCAGGCACACTCCCCCTAGGTGTCCTCTCAGGAGGACGGCAGACCATTGAGAAAGGTGAGTGGGGCCCCCGTGGAAGGTGCACACACTGCCTCTCAGTCCGAAAATGTTGCTAGACACACAGGCTCTCCATCTGCTGGAAAGATGAATCTTTGGACTTCCCTCTTCTGTATACAAAAACTAACTCAAAATAGATTATAACTTAAGTGTAAATGGTAACACAATAAAACTCCTAGGAGTAAGTGTCGAGAGTAGCCACTGGGGTAAGCAAAGCACCTTTAGGACACAAAAAGAACTAGTCTTCCAAGAAAAAGGAGTAAGTTGAATTCCATTAAAATGAATTTATTTTCATGAAAATATTTCATAGGCAAGCCACAAACTTAGAGAAGAGTTTATAATCATTCTAAACTAGGAGCAAACCAAACATCCATTATAGTAAAACAGGTAAGTAAATTGTGTTATATTTATATAACAAACCATTCAGCCATAAAAAATATATTATGAGTTCATATAACAACATGATTGAATCTCAGAGTTTATGAGGTAATCTAAAAAAGTGAGACACAAAAGAGTACAGCCTATCTGATATATTTGACTTATCACTGGCAAGAGACTGAGAAAGAGAGACTGAGGACAGTGCTTTCTCAGTGCTTTGTTGTTTGTTTGTTTTTTGTCAGTGGTGGGGGCTTGAACTGAGGGTCTGGGTGCTGTCCCTGAGCCTCTTAGTGCTGAAGGCTAGCATTCTACCACTTGAGCCACAGTACACTTCCCAGTGCTTTCTCTGATAGGAGGATACTCACTCAAGATGGACTTCTTAGTGTTGGGAATATATCTCTCTATAGCTAGATATCTCGGTATATTTATATATGTATATAAATATACCGAGATATCTCTATAGCTAGATATACATATTATATATATGTATAATGGTCTAAATGGTAATTATACATATGTAAACTTAAAATACTGAATTAAAGCTGGGCACTGATGGCTCAAGATCTGAGGATTGCGGTTCAAAGCCAGCCCAGGCAGGAAAGGCTGAGAGACGCATCCCCAATAAACCACTCAGAAAACTGGAAGTGGCACTGTGGCTCAAGTGGTAGAGCACTCACCTTGAGCTAAAGAGCTGAGGGACAGCGCCCAGGCCCAGAGTTCAAGCCCCATGACCGACAAAAAACAAGAGAAACAAACTATGTACCTCAGATTTGGGCTCATGATATACCTTGTGCATGTAATGAGAACAATTTGGAGAATTAAGTTTTTTAATCAGAGAGAGTATTTGCCTCTGCCTGCAGCCAGTATCTTCTTCAGTATTACCGCTTCAAAGGATCAGTTCTAAAATTCTCTTGCCAAAGAAGAAAAGAAAGAAAATAAAAGGAAAGCCAACACAACTACAGATTTGACTGCAGAGTTCCTTGTAGCTAAAGGAAAGAGGAAAACCAGAAATCAAGAGGAAAAACAAATCCACAAAGACTCTAAGATAAAAAGAACGAAGCAGTTTTGAATTAGACCAGTCAGCATTGAACACTTCTGTACTGTAAATGGTACTATGAAGAAAGTGAAAACGCCTGTCATCCTAACTACTCAGGAGGCTGAGATCGGAGGATCGTGATTCAAAGCCGGCCCGGGCAGGAATGTCCTTGAGTCACTTGTCTCCAATAAACCACCCAGAAAAAAGATGGAGTAGCACTGTCTCATATACTGCAATGGCCTCATATCCTGCAGATGGGAATATAAAATGGTATAGTTCTTCAAATGATTTAAAGAGATTAAAGAGAATTTCTATATGGCCCAGCAAACAGTCCTGGTTTTGGGTCCCCCAGATTTGTATACAAATTCTCCTAAGTAGCATTCTTCATATAGCCCCAAAGTGCTACAAGTTAAATGTTTTTCACTTAAACAAAATATAGTATATCTAATGGATACTGTTCTGCCATAAAAAGGGATGAAGTGTAAGTTCATGCTTGAATACAAGTGACCCTTGAAGATGTGTTAAGTGCAAGCAGTCACTAATGACAATGCAGGGACAGAATAGTAGAGTCGTCGTTGACTAGCACCAAGGGGTATTGCTGAGGAAGCAAAATGAGAAGTGACTGCTAATGAGTAGGGCATTCCTTTTGGGAGTAAGGAAAATTTTCAAAAGATTGTGATGGTCGCACAATTCTAAATATATCAAAATCATTGACTTATATACTTTAAACAATAAATTTTATTACATGTGAGTGACATTTCAGTAAAGATGTTAGTTTTATATTACTTTTCTTCTTATAATATCCCTTAAGACAAGCTGCTGTCTTAATAGCCACTGCAGAAAGCATTTCTTACCTGGGCATGTCTTAATACCAGTAATCTTCAGCACTAAGAAGCTGAGGCAGGAAGATTACAGAGAGGCTGGTTGCCGGTGGCTCGCACCTGTAACCCTAGCTGCTGAGGAGGCTGAGATCTGAGCATCATTGTTCAAAGCAAGCCTGGGCAGGAAAGTCCCTGTGAGACTCTTATCTCCAATTAACTACCAGAAAACCAGAAGTGGCTCTGTGACTCAAGTGATTGAGCGCTCACCTTGAGCTGAAGATCTGAGGGACAGAGCCCAGGCCCAGAGTTGAAGACTCACGACCAACAAAATAAAATAAAACATGAGAGTCCAAAACAATGTAATACACATTCTTCCAGGCCTATTTTTAACTAACTAGGTCAACCCTGAAGAATTCTTTTGGTCATTTCTTGACACTTGTATCTGCAATGCACTGTGGGAAGGCACAAGCCCTGCCTTTGTTAACAAAATTGCTACAAAAGGAATTGATGAATTCTGTGATGTTCCTTGCTACATTTTTTCATGTATTAAGGTTTTACTGTCTGACAAAGCACAGACAAGGACATTTACCTGGTGGTGCAAATTTTTTAATTTCTTCAGTTTTTTCACTAAAGGAACGAAGGGAAGGCTTTCATAGCAACTGGCCTGTTTTCTTGCACAATAAACAGAAGCCTCTGCCATATCTCCAATCCAGAAAGGTACATGAATTTGTATCAGAATTGAATTGTCTGTGCCTTTTCTGGCCTAATAGTCTATTCTTAGACAAGAAATAACTCCTCACTTGTAGTCCATTTTTCTCTTATTTCTAAATGCTGGGCTATTATTACTCAGTGGTCACTCTTTTGGTCACTCTTTTTTAATTCAGTCATTAAAGACAATTGAGCCAGGTGTGGGTGGCTCACACTTATAATTCTAGCTACTTGGGAGACAGATCTAGAGGACTGCAGTTCAAGGTCACTTCAGGCAGAAAAGTCTATGACACTGTATCTCCAATTAACCAGCAAAATGCTGAGCTATAGGCATGGCTCAAGAGGTAGAGCACCAGCTGTGAGCAAGAGCCAGTCTGTGAGACTGCTGGTGCATGCATAAACACATTTGCACTTGTGATGTCAAATTATTGGATAAGTAATTGATATTTGGTGTCAGAACATAAACTAGCAGTTAGTTGTTTTCCATTAGAAATTCTCCCTACTTAAGGTCTTGCTTACCTACCCAATTTAGTTTTCCCTCTCACCAAATTTAGTTCAGTCCTCTTGTTTCTCTAAGGCATTGGGTTTATTATGGTCAGAGTAGTAGGTAGAACCCTGGGACATGTGGCTGTTAGCAGTGCTGCTGATGTACTCATTCTTCTGTCTTTGTTTTTGCATGCTGCTGCTCCTGTCCTCTACAGCTACAGTCCAGGCGATACGGTCCCAGGAAGGTATGACCACTTTACTCTGATAGACATGCTTGTGTATCTGTGTGCTACTTTTGAGAAGTTGGTCAACATTTCAATCTTGTATTGCTTCACCAGGGCTGTCACAGTGAAGAGAGGAATAGCTATTCCTGGGCATGAACATATCTAAAATTTTTATGTATTTGATTGAAAGCTTTAAGTCTTTTCTGGGCTCTCTGAGTTTGAATGCAATGACTAAAAACTGTGCAACTGGTAATGAGAAAGGCCAAGTGGTTTAGTCCTATATCCTTTGCACATACAAGAGCCAACTATTTGGTTAGCAGAGTCAGACTAACTAGCCACTCTACTCATCACTTGAAAGGTTTGCAAAAGCAGAAGCAAAAGTAGATGAATTTAGTTTGCTTCATTTCTTATGTGCCCTAAGGCAATTAAGCTAAATTATCTTAAATGTTTTTTTTTTTTTTTTGGGGGGGGGTCTGGTCGTGGGGACTGTACTCTGGGCCTGGGTGCTGTCTCTCAGCTCTTCAGCTCAAGGCTAGTGCTCTACCACTTGAGCCGCAGCACCACTTCCGGCTTTTTTCTTTTTGCTTATGTGGTGCTGAGGAGTCCAACCCAGGGCCTCAGGCATGCAAGGCAAGCACTCTACCACTGAGCCACCTTCCCAGCTCCTATCTTAAATTTTTTTTAATTTTTTTTTTTTGGGTCCGGTCGTGGGGCCTGAACTCTGGGCCTGGGCACTGTCCCTCAGCTCTTCAACTCAAGGCTAGTGCTCTACCACTTGAGCCACAGCTCCACTTCCGGCTTTTTTCTTTATGCTTATGTGGTGCTGAGGAATCAAACCCAGGGCCTCAGGCATGCAAGGCAAGCGCTCTACCACTGAGCCACCTTCCCAGCCCTATCTTAAATGTTTTTATGGAAACGTTTTAAGCAAAACTTTATGAATATGTGAATGAAAACCGTGAAAATACACAAACCTTTGTTATAAGTGTAATGGCTTTATTAGGAAGAGTAGTTCAAAAGAGAATCCAAAGTTGAATCAGAAAGACAATATCTAGAAGTTGTGTAGATGGTTTTAGCTCCTGGTTGTACAAGATATCCTCAACACAAAGATTTTTTTTTTTTTTCAGTCATGGGTCTTGAACTCTGGGCATGGGCGCTGTTCCTGAGCTCTTCAGCTCAAGGTGACTGCTCTACCACTTGAGCCATAGTGCCACTTCCCACAAAGATTTTTTTAATGGCCAATGCCCTGTTTGTGCCTAAAGCAACTACTTTGGGTTTAACATGTTATATTCCTAATGTCTTTTTTGTAACATCCATATGTTTCTGGCCCATTAAAAAGCTTTCTCAAACATATTGAGATTAAGAACTTGTTAGCTTTTTGTCAGATCTGTTTCTGCCATTGTTATCCATGAGCTTTTATGAAGATTTATTTCAGCTGCCTTTTGAGCCTGGAAGCAGTCATTTAGATAGGGCTGATTCAATCACTGTTGCCTGTACTGTCACCAGATAGGTACTCCATAGCCACTTCTGTGTGTTTCTTAGGGGGTTTCTGTGTTGTGGGCCACTTGGTTAAATTATTGCTTTGCTGCCTAGTTAAGCATTCTACTCCCCCCTTTCCTATTTTTCCTTCATCATCACAGGATTTTCAGTTGGGCACAAAATCCAGAGTTTTGAAGAAGCTCGAGGTCTGGACCGAATTAATGAGCGAATGCCACCTCGACTTGGTAGTACGTCCCCCGATTTGTCAATGAAACCCCTAATCTCGGCTGTGCAAAGGAGCATCCAGAGAAAGAAAGCTCAGTAATGACGCAATCCTGCTGAGGTAGACCGCAACCCGACCAGCAATGCTACTTATAAGTGGGAAATGAAACAAAAATAACTCAAAATAACTTAAACCTGGAGGTCCATTCAGAATTCAGTCTGCCTTTATTCTGTAAGAAGGTGAACATTTTATAAATTCTTTTAGATGTGTTCAGTATATATCAAAAATGTATCAAAAGCGCATCTGTTTTGTTCTTTTCACCTAATTTTTGAAAATTAATCTGATTGTTATAGATATACATGTGAAGTCTTGTTAATACATAAAAGAAACCTTCCCATAATAAAAGGGCCTTGGAAACCTCAACCTGGGTTTCTGACTTGAACTAGTCAGCCTTTTCTCTTGTTTTGGTAGGAGATATCTTTCATTTAAGACTAGTAACTCAGGGGTTTTTCCTTTTTCCCTTTCTGCTGGGTGCTGTGGAAGAATGTCCTCTTAGATTTCAGTGACTAAAACTGCTTCTCTCCTGATGAAAAACTTAATTATACCAGAACTCAATAGAATGTTCCAAATCTAGTGATTTTTAAACTTGAAAGGGAATGTTTTCCATAACAATTTACTGAGGGCTTTCTTTTCTTTTGGAGGAGGGGGGAATAGAACTTAAATTCAGAGCCTGGGCACTGTCCCTGAGCCTCTTTGTGCTCAAGGTTAATGCTCTACCAATTGAACCACTTGTGGTTTTGAGTGGTTAATTTGAGATAAGAGTCTCACAAGAACGTTCCTGCCTGGGCTGGCTTCGAACCATGATCTCAGCCTCATGAGTAGCTAAAATTATAGGCATGAGCCACCAGTGCCCAATATAGGTTTTTCTTAGCATTCCTTAAAATGTGTCCACCATCTCTTTATCTATAAGCATGATCATTTTGAACTCCCCTTAGCAATTGGGAGGAGAAAGATTTCCAAAAAGCTTTAACAGGTGTCAGATTGTTTTGTTTCAGTTTTGAATCCAAGTGACTTTAACCTATCTGCAAAGGTAGTTTGATTTTAAACCTTTCCTAAATTCCCTCTCTAGAATCTTCAACAGCAAGAAATATTGATGCTTTTCTATGTCATGGCATCAGTCATTGCCTATTATCCTTCCATAATCCTCTTTTTTTTTTTTTTGTCCTGTCGTGGGGCCTGAACTCTGGGCCTGGGCCCTGTCCCTCAGCTCTTCAGCTCAAGGCTAGCGCTCTACCACTTGAGCCACAGTGCCACTTCCGGCTTTTTTTCTTTTTGCTGAGGAATCAAACCCAAGGCCTCAGGCATGCAAGGCAAGAGCTCTACCGCTGAGCCACCTTCCCAGCCCCATAATCCTCTTTTTTTGGTGTCAGTACTTCTGAAACCAACCTGGACAATGGAAACCGATGAGGGGGATACAACCCCATATGAACTAAAAGTCTCCACAAGGACATTGAATAAGTGGGGATTTCCTGCCTCCTAGAATTAAAGGCCTATCTACTAAGTGCTGAGATGTTTCTCCATCTTTTTAGAAAGTGAAAATGCCTGTAGTCCTAGCCACTCAGGAGGCTGAGATCTGAGGATCACAGTTCAAAGCCAGCCCTGGCAGGGAAAGTCCGTGAGACTCTTATCTCCATTTAACTATCAGAAAACCAGAAGTGGCACTGTGGCTTAAGTGGTAGAGTGCTAGCCTTGAGCTGAAGAGCTGAGGGACAGCTCCCAGGCCCAGAGTTCAAGTCCCACAACCAACAAAGAAAACTCTCCAGTAAACTACCCAGAAAAGGCCAGAAGGGTGTTGTGGCTCAAATGGTAGAGTACTTGTCTTAGCTCATCTTTCTGGATTTTGTAAATACCTTTGCTAACAGTTCCAAGTTTTCATAGCAGAGATCAAAACATTCTTGAGGACTAGAATCTACCTGCATGGATTGTTGTTAATAAAAAAAGATAGGATATTGTGAAAGGAGATAAAGAATCTCCTACTGGTAAGCAAAATCTGTGAAAGAAGGGAGAAAAAAGTCCTGTGTGACTTTCAAGATGGTTATTTTTTATGCGATTATATTGTTATTATTAAGGTGGTGTACAGAGGGGGTTACCATTTCACAGTTCAGTAATGCATAATTTTCTCTGTTTTAGACAATGTTACTCCTTCCTTCACTTCTCCCTAGTTAGCCCCTCCCACCTTGCCCACAAGTTCCATAGTTCATTTTCCACATACTGTATACTGAATACTGTGATTGTATTCGTTCACCCTTCTTCCCTGTGTCCTGTTTATCCCTGTCAGTAGGAAAAGGAAAAGAAAACAAAGCAAATAACACCCCCAATAACATAATAACCCAAGGTTGTCATTTTTTAATACTCAGGGAATTAACCACCTGGAATCCTTATACCCTCTGTCTTCTAAGCCCAGTGGTAGGGGAAAAACAAAACAAAACATGTCTTTGGAAATCTCACCTATGAAAGTCAGTCCCCGTGACAGATCGTGGAGTCCTCACCCCCTTTTTCATTCCCTGTCCCATACTCACACGGTCTGCAGGTAGAAACCACCCCTCAGGGCCTCCATCAGCAGGCAGGAGCCAATAGTTACTGGAATTGATCAAAGCCATTTTAGTAATGTCTTCGTTATCTTCTCAAAAAGACAAAAAAAAATAGTATGATAAAGCACATTTGACAAATGGGAGTGGCACAAAATGGTATTTTACAGGTTCCCTCAGAGTAAAAAGTCCTGAGTCAAGAAAATTTAAGTGGTGGAGACATAGCTCAAGTGGCAGAGAGCTTGCTGAGAATGCGTGAGGCCAAGAGTTCAATTCTTTACTGCCACACAAAAAAATGGGGAGATAGGAAACCTGAGTTTAAGATAAAGCAGTAACACCTTTTGGAGGAAGTTAGGCTTAGATCTGTAGTTATAAAAATATAAGTATTTTCTTCCGTTCTGTAGAAATCCATGTGTGTTTTGACAAGTGTGGTACATGTGCATATGACATATACAGCATCTTAAAGTGATATTCTCCGCTGGAGTATAGTTGGTCACTTGTCTTGTTTGTGTGAGACCCTAGGTTCAATCCACAGCACCACAGAAATAAATAAAATTTTAAAGTAAGGTTCTATGCCTGTGCACCTACAACTCAAAACAGTTAGAAGGCCTGAGCTGTACTTAGCACACTGTATTGTAACAACAGTGTTATTTCTTCCCTTTAGACTATATTGGAGGGTGTTTTTTTAACATAATTTCAAAAGTTTAAATCTCAACAAAAATTTCTAAGGTGGCTCAATGTCCTACCCTGGGTTTGCCCTCAGAGGACTGGTTTCTGCCTAGGGCCATCATCCCAAACAGTCATCTTACCTGCTAAGTTCTACAGCCTTGACATTCTCAAAGTCTCTTCTATTTCACTGTGACTTGTCCCTGATGTTCTAAAGATGTCAAAAAAAAAATACTTTCATTTCATTCTCCTTCACATTAAAGTCCATAGGTCCTCTTCTTTCTGAAATTTCTCCTATTTAGGAAACCAAAAAAAAAAAAACTCCTTCATACTTTAGTTCCCTAAACATACCACAAGATTCCTTTGTGAATGTTTCTGAAATGCTACTTTGATGGCATGCTAGCCTCGAGTGGAAAAAGCCAAGCAAGGCCCAAGGCCCTGAGTTCAAACTCTAGTACCAGCACCAAAGAAAGAAAAAGAAAGAAATTCCATTTTGACAATGACGTTTTACCTGGATTGGTTTCCTGGTTGGGGTTGTGTACATATTTGAAATTTTAAATTGATCAGAAGACTATTTTGAAATAATTTTAAAAGTTCATTTGACAAATTCATAACATTTTTATTATCCTTAAGTAGTTATACAAAGGAGTTTCAACTTCAATATGTCTGTTTGAGTATAATGCATCTTGATCAATATTTCCCTTTCCATCATTCTCCCTATCTCTCCCAACCCCACTCATTCCACCTATTTTTTAAATCTGTTCTTTGTAGAGCAAAAACAGCTCACCAAAACGTGTGTGTGTGTGTTTATAATAGAGTGTTACAATGAAAACAGCTTTACTTGCCCTTACATCTTCAAAGTGACATTTTAGGTATGTGGACAAACACTGCTGATTTGTTGGTCTTTTGTGAGTAGATATTGACCATGAAAATGAGCATTGCTTACCACACTCTGATGGGACTTGATTGATAAACTCCTTTCCTAGGGAAAAAAAGTCGACTGTAAAGAAATATTGTTCATATCCTTTGGTTTGTATTTGTATTGCTTTTTCTGTTCTTCCATGAATAGTCACCATTTAATGAAATAAGTTTCTGTCAAGGACAAACATTTACTTTCTTGGCCTTATAACTTAGGGATGGTTTCCTGACACTTTTAAAAATAGGAAAGTTCTTTTTTGTTCAGTCAATATAATATTATTATTTGATGTAATTAAGGAGCAAGAGTGAGGTTTCTGAAATTAGCTTTGGAGCCGTTCAGCTTGAGACAGCTGTTCTCTTAAGAAAAACATTGTAAACCATATTAGGTACAATTGGGCTTCTTTCCTTGGTCTTTACAGCATTGCAGAATGAGGAAGACAGAAGTCTCTTCCACCTATGCTTTATGCAAATATTCTATTGTAATCACCTCTAGAATTCTTCACTACACCAGGCTTGAACTCTGGGCCTGGGCACTGTCCCTCAGCTCTTCAATTCAAGGCTAGCACTCTACCACTTGAGCCGTAGTACCATTTCTGGTTTTCTGGAGACAGGAGTCTCATGGACCTTCCTGCCCAGGCTGGCTTTGAACCATGATTCTCAGATCTCAGCCTCCTGAGTAGCTAAGATTACAGGCATGGGCCACCGGTACTGCCGGCTTGACTACACCATTTCTATAAATAATTCTATAAGTAGAATTTCTATTTTTTTCTATAAATATTCTATAAATAGAAAGTTCAAGCTCTTTTTTTTTTTTTTTTTTTGTCGGTCGTGGGCCTGAACTCCAGGCCTAGACGCTGTCCCTCAGCTCTTCAGCTCAAGGCTAGCACTCTACCACTTGGGCCATAGCGCCACTTCCAGCTTTTTCTGCTTATGTGGTGCATGCAAGGCAAGCACTCTACCACTGAACCACCTTCCCAGTTCCAGTTCAAGCTCTTGAGAATTGAGTCTGTGCTGACTGATCTGTGTGATCATTCATTTTGACTAGGTTAGGTAGTTTGCCCCACATTGATTCATAGTTTTTATTGTTAGGTTTTCTCCTCAGTCTTTGTATTGAAAATTACTTCCTAGCCTATAAAGACTTACTGACAGCATTCTAGAACCCCCCAATATTTAACCTAGTTGGTATAGTAACAATGGAACCCAAGTTTCTTTCAGCTTTTCCTGTCCAGGAAGGAAAAAATACCAAGAGTGTGAACTCAGAGCTCCAGTT